AGTTCACTTTCAATCCACTAGATAATTCGAAACACCGAAGAATGACTTTCAAAGTTTTAACATTCTCAAGATTATCCTCAGCAATGAATATAGTGTCATCAACATATTGTAGAATATCCACTGGTACCTTACATGAGCCCACTGAGACGCCTGAGAATAGCTTCTTCTTTATTGCCTCTCTAACTAGCCCTGTCAACCCTTCTGCTATTAGGACAAACAATAACGGTGCAAGGGGATCTCCTTGTCTAATCCCTTTTTGGACATTGAACTCCTTGGTTGGGCTTCCGTTCACTAATACCGACATGGATGACGAGCGCAAGCATTCCTTGATCCAACTAATCCAACGGTCGTCAAATCCAAGTCTTTGAAGCATGTACAATAAGAATGACCATGACACTGAATCGTACGCCTTTTCAAAATCAACTTTGAAAAAAATGCAAGCCTTCCTCATCCGTCTCACCTCGTCAAGAGTTTCATTTAAAATGACAGCACTTTGTAGCAACCCCCTACCCTCCACAAATGTTTCTCAAAGTTCAAACTATTTATAAAAGTTTCAGACGCAGATAATCGATTATTTTAAAGAATAATCGATTATTTTGTTCTTCAGGTTTTCTGGAAACCAACCAAGAACAATATAATCGATTATTTTGCTGGATAATCGATTATTCCAGAAAGTTGTTCCTGGGATAATCGATTATTTTGGCAAATAATCGATTATTGCAGCAAGGCATCCCATTTTGCCTATTGCTGGAATAATCGATTATATTTAACAATAATCGATTATTTTGAGTTAGTACTTAAAACTTCATTTTAAGTCTCAAAATAACTTTTCAATGTTTTAACTCATCATCATATACTCTCTACTTAGTTTAGATATAGATTTGATTATGCACAAAGCATACTAAGCACACACAATATAAAATCTCATTCAAAACAACTTAATTTCTAAACTCTATTACATTGCTCCATTACATAGCATGTTCTTGACTTTTCTTTGACTTTGTTTTTGTGCTTCCAAGTTGTAAGTTGTTGTTGTACACTTGTGTTGTGATCATCAAAACTTCTTTAGGCTTCAAGCTCTCCTAAGCTCAACAATCTCCCCCTTTTTGATGATGACAACCCATGATTACCAATCCAATGCTATTGTGCTTCAATCTTCATGATGAAATGAGTCTACTATGCTTGTTTGGTAGATGAATGATGAAATGAATTATGGAACTTATTGATGTGCTAATGATGAACGACTATGTTTGTTGTTTATTTAATTGTGTGTACTCTAACAATGTTTTGCTTTATGATGAAGATAATGATAATGATGATGTTTCCCTTGCATTGTTAGTGTTGTGCTTACACTTATATTGTTTTCTCATAGTTTGGCTAAAAGACATGATATAGCTTAGTTGATGCTATTCATGATTGCTTATTTTTTTTGATACTTCTTGCTTACGTAAGAAGTAGTGGTTGAGTGTTATCGCTCGTGTTGCGAGCATATGTGCCAGTAATAGTGGACGAAGCCTTGCTAACCAACTAGAAACTATTAGAATCTTGGATGTGGGTGAGACATTGATTTGTTGAGTGTATTGAGAGTTTATGGTTGATGGAGTTTCTGGAATTTATAGTTTTAGCGATTGAATCCAAGGAGGTTGTATCTTGAGAATTGGAAGTTTTGATATTCTTGATGAGAGATTGAAATGTTGGTATTTTCCTCGAGTGTTGGTGTTTTTTTAACCGTTTATGGTTTAGGTAGCACGTGAGTTTTATTTTCTAAGTCTGTTGTGCTAAATATGTGAGTTTTTTTGATTTAGGATTGTAGTGGGAAGCTTGAATGTGAAGTTGAGGTGTGAGTTTGGAAGAGTTGAGGTATTTTTGTGGCCTTAGATATATTGATACACTATTGCTGTTTGATGTATTTTCGCTGCAGTTTTGTTGTGCCAGTATGAGTACCGTATTGACAGATTTAGATTTTATGATCTTCACAAAAGTTGTAGCCTTGGACGTTATCTTTCCAATGGAATTGGAATCAGGTAAAACGGAGGTCTAGAACTCCAGTTATAGCTACTTTGGTGATCAAAGGTTTAGCTGTAAGCATCGAATATATCTGCTGCGGTTTTTGAAATTTTTAGCTAAGAAGATGATCTTTTAGAATCTTATGTCTTCATAAGAGTTATAGCTTATTCTCTTAGCTTTCTTTTGAGATAGGTTTGAGATCATGTGGAGGAGTATAACTCTTTAGGTGTCATTTTTCGTTGCCAGTTGTTGATGGAATATGTACTGTGTCATGATGTTTTGAGTTGTTAGGCAATGCAAGGATAAAAATTGATTTGGATATGATATTCTTAGGTGTTGTCATGTGGATTGAGAGGTCGTTTAAGGTTGTATGATGCTATGTGGTAAAGTTGGTTCATGTACTGCTATATGGATTAAACGATGATTGATTCGTACATGCTTAAGGATGGTATATATGAAGGTTTAAAGTAGGTATTTTAATATGATTTGATATGTATGTATGTTAATATGAGGATAGATGACCTTATGGATTAATTAGCGAGTGTTTATGTGTTTCGTAAGTTTGACCTTAGGGTGTATATGAGGATGAAGATGTATACAAGACAAATTTAGGCTGTTATCTAAGTATGATACTTTTTATTTTACCCGTTCCCTCTATATTGCTTGGTTAGAAACTGGTTTTTTTTTTTTGGTGTACAATAACACCTTGTGCACGTTACTTAATCCCTCATGACTAGACCTACCATAATGATTCAACGTGTTTATCTTTTGCTTTAATGGGATTGATACATTTTTGACAATCCAAATGATGGAATACAGATTACCAAGAGCTCTGGTCCACACAAGCAATCATAGTGCAAGATACCAAGTCCGAACCCAACTTGATCGTGGTTGCATTCAGGGGCACAGAGCCATTCGATGCAGATCAATGGAGAACAAATGCGGATATCTCATGGTACGAGTTGCCCGATGTAGGGATGGCAAATAAACCCGTACCCGTGGGTAATACCCGAACCCGTCCCGACTTTGACGGGGAATACCCGCTTTGACCGGGTACGGGTACGGGTACGGGTAAAACCCGATAAATTAAATCGGGTACGGGTACGGGTATAACTTACCCGCCCCGTCCTCGTCCCCGGTTAAATACCCGTCCCCGGTTTAATTACTTTAAAAAAATTAAAATTTTAAAAATAATGCCTCTAGTCTAATTAAGTGTCTCACTCTAGCGCAACACGATTACAGCAACACGAGAACACTCCAGCCTCCACGAGTTAGGGTTTCAAATCCTGCAACTCACACCGCGACCCAGTCTCGAAGCCTCCTCAGGTAATCCTTCACAAGTAATGCCATTTACAAGAACAATATAGGTAGCCTTAGTAAGTGTATGCATTGGGTCTAGCACCAAACCCCTCCATGTAATGGAAAATTTTTATTGCTTCATGAACCTTCCCATTACGACTTAGGCCCCCTACTACTGAAGTGAAAGTAATTAAATTAGGCTTCAGACCTTTACTGCAGGCCTCTTCCAAGAGTTCTAGAGCAAGTTCAGTTTTTCCCACCTTTAAAAGCCCATCAATAATTATATTGTAGGTAATTATATCAGGTTCAAGAACTTTTCTGCACATCTCTTCAAAGAGTTCTAGAGCACGCTCTATTTTTACGGGTACGGGTACGGGTATACCCAATACCCAACGGGGACGGGGATGGGACAAAAATTACATACCCGACGAGTATGAGGACGGGGACGGGGACAGGGACGGGTATGAATTTCAGTCGCGGGGACGGGGACGGGTATCATGAAACCCGTACCCGCCCCGCCCCGTTGCCATGCCTAGATGTGGGTAGAATACATGGTGGTTTCATGAAAGCATTAGGTCTACAAAAAAAAGTGGATGGCCCAAAGAGATAGATCAAAGCAGTTCCCAGCATCGTTATGCCTACTATTCAATAAGAGAGAAGCTTAGAGCCATGTTGGAGGCAAAAGAGGATGCAAAATTTATATTGACAGGGCACAGCTTAGGAGGAGCATTGGCCATTTTGTTTGCTGCGGTGCTCATACTGCGTGAGGAGGAATGGTTGTTGGACAAGTTGGAAGGGGTTTACACATTTGGGCAGCCGCGTGTTTGGGACAAACAGTTTGGGGAGTTCACGATGAACAAGTTGAAAAAGTATGGTGAGGTATATGAGATATGTTTACTGCAATGACTTGGTGCCTAGGATCCCTTACGATCACACAACCCTCTTTAAGCACTTCGCTCCTTGCCTCTACTTCAACAGCTTATACTGTCGGCAGGTATGAAATGTGAATAGTATATGATTGTGTTTCGTTTTGCTCTATAATATATAGTAGAGTGAGTATATTCTGACTGTATACTTTTTTTTTATGTATTGCAATCCAGGTTCTAGAGGAGGAGCCGAACAAGAATTATTTCTCCTTGTTCTGGGTCATACCCAATATTCTACATGCAGTTTGGGAGGTTATTAGAGGATTTCTTATCCCATTGGTAGAAGGTAAAGAGTATATGCAGAATTGGTTCATGATAATTTACAGGCTCTTTGGAATCATAATTCCGGGAGTACCAGCTCATTGTACAACGGATTACATCAATGTTACCAGATTGGGATCCTTACACGGATTTCTGGAGAATCAAAAGTCACGAGATTCCAAGGTTGATTAATGTCAACGCTTGCGTACAATAACAATTATTTTGCTTCTTCCCTTTTCCTTTCTGACATTGGAATGTTCACTGAACAAATAATTTAAAGATGTGCTTTTCTAGTTGTGGTGTATTCAGATTTAGATGGAATTCCAAAATTTCCTGAGACTAGTAACTAATGACAATAAATAGACTGACATAGTAAGCATATTCACACAATTGTATCAGTGAGACAAAATTAGCGAGAAAGGAATCACGAAAAAAACATAAATCCGACAACGAGCAAGAAAGAACTGATCCAAGCGTGATTTTCTGAAGGAAAAACTAAATTATAGATTTGAGGTTAATTTAACGTTCTACTATAGATAGATAACAGATTACATTTGAACAACAAACTGTCAAGGAGAGGAAAAAAAATACAAAAAAAAAGCTTATTTCTAAAGTTTGGCCTACATACATACATATATTATTTATCACTGAATCCAAACTCCCAAGGGTGAGGGCACAAAGGGCTTTAGATTTAATCGGATACCTTTAGAAGGTGCTGCTATTTCACGCATTGCAAAACCGCGATGACACCAATTTAGTGTCAACATAAGCTGCTCTCTCTTTTATCCACCTTTCGCTCATTTACATGGAGCACATTTAAATCATTCTGAATTCTGAAACCTGGTAAGGCAAGTAACAACCTTGTATCAAAATACATGAGACTGAACAAGGATATAATCAGGCATATGTCCATGGTAAGTAGATAAGGGAATAAATAAACCTGAGCCTATCAAACTCTAGTCTCCAGGGAACGACGGGGCTTGAATATAAAAGAAATGGAACAAAAGCAGGCATGTTTTAAAATCTGTCGATGGTGGAAAATCATTCGAGCATAACTTGCATACTAAACTTTTTTCACTTGTCAAAAAACTCATAAATTTCATAAAAACTACATTTTTCACATTCAAAATTATGCAGACAATTTGGTAACGAAAGGTAAAAGTGTGTTGCTTTAAAAAGCTTTTGAAACCAAAATAATACTCCCTTCATTCAATTTCTTTTATATTATAGCAACAAAAAAAAAGTTATTCCATTTTGATAGTCATTTTGTAATATCAATAAAGCATTAAATACATGTTTCCTATCATATCCTTAACAATTCATTATGGAGTGAGAAAATATAAAAGAAATATAAATGGGATAATATAATTAATATAAAGATAAAAGGTATATTACAAATTTGTATAATAACTTTTATGAAATCTAAAATGTTACCAATTGTTTTTCTTAATACCTGTTCAAACACCTGAATCGTCAAATAAAATAAATTGAAGTACCAAATTAAACTAAGACTCGTAAAACAGTTCATTATTGAACTACTAAAAGGTTTACAGAAAAAATTACCCAGCTTCACATGAATGGAAAAGAATGTCGGAGAAGCCTAAAAGGCGTGACAAGTGAAACAACCACTTAAAGAACCCATCTGACTGGCTCGACGAAATAATATAGCCTTGTGAGGAGTTCCGGCAACTTGATGAGGTTGGTTTGCTACAACTGAACTTCTCATTTCTTGAGCTTTTTTCTGAGCCAATCTCAGCTTGTTCATAATCTTATCCATAGATGATGCTCGTTTCTTTTCCAACTTCATCTGAAATAACAAAAATAATGAGATCATGATCTATTTGTTTATGTCCTTTCACTCTAGTTCTTATCCCTTTTCTTCTTTATTTTAGTAATAATTTTTGGACTCAAATAGAAAAGATTCTTTAATGCATGCATGCTTTGAAATGAATTAACAAAAATACAATCCATATATTGCTTGATTTGTATATAACAAAGAAAAGGAGACTTTCTTTCTGACACAACATACGTAAAGAATCTTTCCTTTAGACATCCTAATTCTATCAAACAACCGACACAATGAATAGAGTCTATACTTCACAATAACATAGTCAATAACTTGTTCAGCATTTACAGATAAGGGATGTCTGGTCACTTATCTGAACAAACTACTTTACTATAACCTAATGGCAGTAAGAGCAAGTCATTAGGCAGAAATACAGCTAGCAGAGGATAACCAAAATTAAACTAAAGAAAAAAGGGAAATAATTAAACATCATGAATTAAGAAAAATAAGGAAGTTTCTTTTTAATAGAAATACTTACCATGAAGGAGCAATAACACCTTGATGGTTACTTAAACCAATATATCATGATACATAAAATCACTTCATGTGGTTATTTTTCATTTATATAATTAATAAGTATTTGTAAGAGGAATTTCTTGTTAAGAGTCTGCTAAGAAAGAAAACACTAGGAATTAACCTCTAGTTTCCGTATTGCTGCCTCAGCCTTTGCCTTTTGCAAGTTCTCCCATGCAGTAATTTTGGCTTCCTCCCTTTTAGCCCTGGCAAGAAAAAAATGTTGGGAATTAAGAAACAATGTAAAGTTTACGCAACTATTTCTTAGACAATAAATTATGAGGTTTTCTCAGGGATAAAATGGTCATGAAATACTTCACATTTTATATTTTCTAGTGCGAATTGGATAAGGATGGTAAATTTTTGTTATATTTGGAAGGTAATAAAGAGAGATTATTGGCAACCGCACAAGTATCATTTTAATTAAATATTTCCAAGGTCAATAAGGTAGCAAAAGGTTGACTGTAAAGGGAAAATCTCAATGTTATTCTTAATAGCAAATTATTTACAGTTTAAAGTTGTCCAAAATCATTTTCTTTATTTACAAAGTAAATTGAACAAAATTAATACGATACTAAAGTACACATACTCTGATACAGTCTTTGACCTTTCAGAAATGTCCCAAGATGAAGATCGACTGCTTGTTTCTTTAATTTTCCAGCTGTTAACATTTTCTGAGGCTCTGCCAGAGAATAGGGCCCTATGTTTCTTAGACCACCTTGTCATGGTTACACGTTCATCTACCGGCACATCCCTGATATCCATTTTAGAGAAAGGCAAACTCTTGAACTCTGTAATCGAAAGGGCAGGTGGAGTGGAGGCAGAGAAAGAAGGCCTCAAATTGGGAGAGGAACATGAGCTACCCTCTGGGCTCATCTGGGTTGCCATGTCCCTCCTTGAAACGGCAGGAGATACATTGGTGCCAGCATCTTTGAGACCATCAAACTTTTCCCCTGTAAGTTAGAACCAACATAAAAAATGACACATCATAAGCACAGAAGTATAGTTTCATATTTTCATAAGACCATCATCTCATCATTAAGCATAAAATTGTCGACTATCAACGCGCATCATTAGTATTGCCAACACAAACAATTTGTTCAATCCATACCACCTCTCAACAGCAGTCAATACAGAATCTCACAGCAAGTGCCAGGAGTTCACAAAACATAGAGAATTAACTGAAAGTCAGGAAATTAAAATTGGTTTAGTCCTATTGAATCACCATTGAAACATGTGATCTCCCAGTATCGAACAGGCATACATAGACTACATATTTCTACAGCACAACTTGATTGCCAAATCAAGTCAACAAAATCATAATTCACCAAAACCCAGAGCAAGATAAGGTTCAAACAAGGTTAAAAAAACAGTCCAAGGACACAATTTCGGTCACAACATCACGATTTTTGGACTCGTCGCAGCTGCTATTACAACCGCATCGGCCACAGTTGCCCACGATTTCCTGCAATGTCAAGAATCACAAAAAAAAAAAAAAAAGACCACGACCGTAATTTAAAACCTTAGATATAACATAATATGATAGAATATACTTCAACAACCTTGGGCAGGCAATGATGACTGGCTCTGCATCTGAGAGCATCCGTGGACGCTAACCGAGCGAGCCATACAAGGATCAGTTTTGGTGGGGGGCACCCCACAACTGCCACCGGTGCTGGCCGTTACCCCATCAGCAGCAGCTGAGACACCAACAGCAGCAGAAAATGGAGAAGCCACCATAAAGCTCCCTGAATTCCCACCTTCAAACAAAGGCACCGCAGGGGAATAAAAGGAATAATACCCAGCAGCAGCAGCAGCACCAGGGGGGCCAAGCGGCCCACTCTTTGACTTGGGCCTCCTCTGTGGCGCCGGAAGCGAGGCCCTGCCGGTGCCGTCACCGGAAACGGGACTGAGAATCCACCTCTCAGCGTCCTCCCATTTGGATGGCAACGTCCGGCCGTTGTTCAAAGGCAACAGAGCCGCACCAACCTGCTTGCGCGCAGCACTTGAATGCAAGGGAACTCGCTCCGAACTCCAACCCTTTTGCATAGCGACACCAGCTTGAAGATAATTAGGCGTTCCAGGACTCGGAAAATTACCAGAGCCAGACCTTCGAGAAGAAAGCGTGCTCTTCTTCATTGCTCCCAATCCCAAACGAGGCGAAGAAACATTGCCATTGCCAATAGCATTGTTCAGATCTAACGAAGCAGGCCTTCTCCGATCGTGCTTCTTGAATAACGCCTCAGATCTTGATCTCCGGTCCTGACATTCTTTAAGCAACTCAAAATAATTAAATAAATAAAATAAAATAAACCGAAATGGTTGAATTGAAAAGCTGAAATTGAAATCCTAGTACCTTTGAGTGCCAGAGAGAAAGAGTTTCTGGCGGAATCAAATTCCGAGAGTTGATTTCCGTCCTCAGTGTCACCACCGTCACTGTCTTCTTCTTCTTCTTCTTCCTTTTGAACTTCGATACGGAAAGTACAACAACCAGCAGAGTTAGTGACTCACTTTCTTTTTTTCCTCTCTTTTGATTTTTAAACAAAACAAATTAACAACGCGCAAGTGCATGTTAAATTGATAATGCAATAACAATAATAATAATAATTACAATAATAATGATAATAATAATAATAATAATAATGATAATAATAATAATGATAATAACGTTACACACGCACACCTTTCGCTTTCGCTTTCTCTCTTTTTCCGTGGAAACGATTTTGTTCCTGCTTCCTGTGCACTGCATCTGCATCTGCATGTTGTCGTTTACGCGGATCCGGATCCGGATCCGGATCTGTACCGCTCCAGTTTCCGCAATGAGCGAAATCCGCGTCGTGCTCCTGCGACGCCAAATGCTGCAAGGGAACAGCGAGAAACTCAACTCAAACTCGGTTTTCGGAATTTCAACTATCGTTACAGAATGAAGAAGCCTAGTTTCCAGTTGCGTTTCTTTACCAGCGAGATTTCGGAGGCTAGAGAGTCGTGGTCGTGCGCGTCGGAGGCGAAGGAGCAGCGGTCGACGCTGGCGGAGGCGGAGGAGAAGAGGCTCAAGTTGGACTCGAGAGTGAAGATGACGGAGTCAGGGCTGGTGTCGCCGCCGCGCCGCGACCCTGCGCGCCTCCACGGCCTTCGTTCCTGAAACCCTAGCTCTCGCATTCTCATCGAGCATCGAATCGCACTAGCATTTCGCAGAGAGAAACACTCACACTCACTCACACTCACACTCACGCAGTAAATATGGCGGGTATTGTGTTACTGTTTGTTTTATTTTGCAGCATTATTATTATTATTATTATTATTATTTATTACTGATAAAGAACGAAACGAAATGAACGATTTGTCGTTGAGTTTAGTTTCAACACGTCATTGTCGTTTGACTCAGAGATAGCAAGTAATTATGCTGTGAAAATGTGAGAACCATTTTCGAAGGACAATGACTTGCTGCAACAGAATAGGCTCGGTTTCTGCATGAGTGAGTGTGTCATTATCTATGAGTTGGACTTGGATTCAGACTCGTACACTACACTACACAAAGTCACTAGTATTATTTTTGTGAACAAGACCTTTAGTATAAGTTAAGCTTTGTTTTCCAACTTTTATTCTTTTTATGCTAATGTAATCATTCTGGTTTACTTGACCGTCGAATTTGACTGGTTCTCAAGTTACTATAAGGCCCATTTATCTTTGTTTGAGTGAGGGTGTTATTGTCTTTTTCTTTTCACAGTTAAAAGGACCCATAGTGTGATAATGATGATTATGCCTAGGTGCGGTTTACGGTTATGGCTATTGGGCCCTACATGATTGGGTTAAAGTAGGTTTACTTTTTGGGTTATCGCGTTACTCAACAATTTTTTAATGTAAAGTTTAGCATGAGGGACCAAATTATTTCTAGAGTTATTATTTAAATTAGTTATTCGGTGCCTCATTATATATAATTAATTAGCTTTAACAAATTTTTAACTAAATTACTTGGCTACGAGCTTTATTTTGAATTGGGTTAGCTAAATAAGAGGTGTTAAAAACTCTATTCTCGAATTGAACTAAATTATTGTCTTTGTTATTGTTAATTGTTGTAGATGAAAAACCTAATGCTTTTCATATATAATAATTTGAACAAAATATTATTTATTGGTTATTTATCTGTAAATTCCCTCGGCCAAAATTTGATTTAAAGAAGCATGGTCTTCCATACTTCTTTGTTCAGATTATAATATGAGGGAGGCTATACTATATAATTCATAATAAAAGAACAAGAATTTATGTCAGCATGCATTTATATTTATCCTTTATATTCCCGAGTCTTGGCTCGTGTGTGTTTTGAATTCTATATAAATGAATCAGTTCTTGTGGGTGGGGTTGTTTAAAAACCTTATATTTTAACTAACAAAATAAAATCGACACAATTGGTATTTTAACTAACCTGATATTTTGTTTAAAAAAATGAAATTCACTTCGATGATACCTGCATCTCAAAAGAATTATTTGTAAAAAAAATAAAATTCACTTCAATAATGCCTACATCTAAAAGAAATTATTTTTTTCATTATCAACTAGGAGAAAATAATAACTTTCCTGACTATCAACTTGGAAATATAATATTCTCATATTTATAATGAGTTTTAAAAATATTTTTGGGTATTATTTATTTGAGAGAAAAAAATAGTACTATCATGATTTACTTTGTTTTCATTCTCGTGATGGGAGGTTGAAAAGTATATTTTCATGAAAAGATAGCAAGTTGTTTTCTAATTAGATTATTATTTTCATTTCAATTCAATTATTTTAAATCTTAAACTAGAAAAATGTTTTTCAGTCCTTATATTTTAAGTCGAACACGGTAAATGTTCTTATATTTTCATTTTGATGAATTTTATCTTCAAAACTTAAAAATCATGTTGATTCAATCCTAGACAAGCCAGTTATTTAAGGGTTGGAAACTTAGGCCCGATATTTTTTTAAAAAATTAAATAAAAACAAAGGAAAAAATGAGCCAAATAACTCATTTAACAAATCTAATCAAAAGTATAAAACTAAAATCACATATTTTATTTAACATATATCATATAAATGTTAAAATCTAACCAAATATTTTTAAATATTCTAAAAATAATACCCTTTTATTATAATATTCCTCAAAATGTAATTCCTAAATAACGCAATGCCTTGCCTTTAAACAAACGCCCCTATGATTGTCATTTTGGCATCAACACACAAGCCGAAAGTTGTTGCTTCTTCCTTTTAAAATGAAGTTTCAAACAATTAAGTTTCGTAATAGCTATTTTGAAAAGGAAAAAAAAAATAGCCTAGGTCTTATTCAAATTTTATTTTAAAAACAGATGTTCAGATAAAATAGTTTTGAAATCATTTTAATGCATTTTCAAAACAATTTTAAACCTTGTGTCAAAACTAAAACAAAAAAGAAAAAAAAAAGTTTTCGTTTTGAGTTGTAAAATCCATCTAACATTGGGTATGTTAGGACCACACTTTTTATTGTCTATACCTATGTTAGGTTAAAAAAGGGTCTAAAACTTCTCAAAAGTTAATGTTAAAAAAATAAATGATTTTGTAAGTTCATAAAAAGATCAAATGCGAAAAATAATAGTACAAATTGTAGGTAAAGATGATATTATACATTATATATGTAAGATACTCTTTCAAATTGAACATATTGTGTCTCAAATAAATAGTTTAAATATTTTAACATTCTTATCATCTGTTCTCCTTGATCAGATAAGAAGCGACCATTTGTTGAAATGTATTTAATACAAGCATTTATCGCACTAATAAACACATCGAAACACATCACTCCACTCTGATAGGAAGCAAAATGGAGCAAGTCGATGAGTGTAACTTTAGAACTTGCAAAGGTCATCTTCAAAAGGCACCTAATAAAGAAGCATGACCGACTCAGAGAAAAAGAAAAAGAAAACCAACAAACAATCTTATTCTTTATTCATTTTCCATAAATTACACTCGATACTTAAAAGTTCATCACGTCTTGTTTGTAAGATGAACCCTTTCTTAGTTTACTCAACTTAAACTGTATGTTTTAGCATGAAGCTTGAAGAAAATTTTATTGTTTAAAGAATATTTGTTGTTGGAGCCTGAAGTTGTTTTTTTGTTTAAAAATACTTTGATAGTTTGCTTGAAAAGACAATCAAAGAACACTTAGGTTGGACCAAAACTAACTTGTGAGAGAATACTTATATCTTTGTGAAAGATAAGTAGAACTTGATCAAGTTGATTGATAAGTATCAATTTTACTAAAGTAATATAATTTTATTGACAATTATTTGGCTAGTTTAAAAGTAAAATTTATTTTTAACTATAAAAATATTGTGAAAATAAAAAAGATGTGTAAATTGGTTAGTTATGAAGAGTTGATAATTTTTGGACTAAATAGCCTCATTTTCTTGATTTGATCAAGTACCAAAGGTCTTCAAATTTATGGAAAGCATTGAGTCAAATTAAATTCTACTCAACAAAATTAGAGAAAAATAAAGGAGAATCACCACCTAGATTTGACTCAGGAAAATTAGAAATGGTTGAGCAGAATTGATCCAAAGAGCAAAAATGCTCAGCCATATCAGAAATGGATAAGTGAATTTAATCTAGAGAGCAAGGAAATTCTACAACAAAAAAATGCTCAGCCAAATTAGAAATGACTGAGGCAATTTGGCCTAATGAGCAAAGAATTTTGGAAGCAAAAAAGGTTGAGCGAGATCAAAAAGGGCTGAACAAAATAGTTTTCTTCAACCTAAAGAATTTAGATTCCGCTTAACCAAATCAGAAATAGCAGAGTGAATTAGGTCACTTAAGCCATTCTCTATTTATGAATTGGCTGGTATAAAAGGAGAAATTAGAAGAAAAAAAAAGGAGGTTGGAAAGAGAACAAAGAACAAAGAGAAGAAAAACATCCAAGACCTCTAGGAATGAAAAATCTTGGGTTCAACTTTCTTTTCTTATGCTTTCATCGTAATGAAGATTGCTCTCACTATCATGAGTAGTTAATCTTCCTTTTTGCTGGGTTTGAATGTAAATCTATCAAACTCTTCTATAATTCTTTTGATTTATATATATGATATTTTGTTACTCAATGTTAGTGATTTGATTTTGTGCTTTATGTTTTAGATGAATCAATCACCTATCTTATGATTTGAGAATTGGATTTTGATCGGCAAATAATTTATGAATCTGATTTGAATCAAATCACCTAGTGATTCTAAATGTTAGGAATATATTTAGGATTTTTAGTTGGTTAAATCTCGAGCTTAACGTAAGGACTCTAATTTGGTAATTTAGGAATTTGTTATTAAATTAGGATTCTTAGGATTTCCAAAGTTAAGGAATTTGTGACATCCTCTACCCCACATGCCATAACACATAATATAATATAAAACTAAATAATCTCAATATAGTAAATAGACTCAAAATCTATATAGGTAGAAATAATCACATTTTAACATAAACTAGACTTGGTGGAAATAACAAATTACAAGGAAAATAAAATCAACTACTCAATTTAAATAACATAAATCGAATCCTAACTAGTCCTAATTAATTCTCAATGTCACATGTCTTATCAGAGCAAAATCTAACTTTAAAGATTGAGCCTCATCACCGATATCCTCAACACCATGCTGATGATTACCAGCAAAGATCACAAGAAGACAACATAAAAGAAAAGTGAGTGAGAAATATCTCATTCTAGCTCACGGTGTAGGTATGCAAACCAACTAGTCAAACACAACAACACATACAATATAACAAACATTTACACACCATCATTATAGTATAATAAACAACAGATATGATTATAATGCATATGCAACGAACACGAACTTCATATTATCATGCATGTAACGCTAGTAAAAACGTCACATTTGTGCATTACCACTAACAATACACTAAAGTAGTTTAGGAGTACATGTTAGGTCACACCTTCTACACATTCTCATTAGAAAGGCATACTACCAGGATCTAGTCGGAATAGTTCAACCGCACAAGATACATCATATGCTCACAAGGGCAAGACTAAGACTTCCAAACCAAACTATCCCTAAGATTGGTTCCCAAGCTTTTACACATGGGGTCTCTCTTGACAGTATATTCCTAACAGTGTAATGCAAATAGACTCTTTCTCATTAGAATAGTCTAGGAGTACATGTTAGGTCACACCTTCTGCACATTCTCATTAGAAAGGCATACTATCAGGATCTAGTCGGAACAGTTCAACTGCACAAGATACATCCTATGCTCACGAGGACAAGACTAAGACTTCCAAACCAAACTATCCCGAAGATTGATTTCTAAACTTTTACATAAGGAGTCTCTCGTAACAGTATATTCTTAATAGTGTAATGCAAACAGACTCTTTGCATTACATTCACATGATTCCATAATCTTACATTTAACATTTTCCTCATATCACGTTACTCTTCATTCACATTTACATGTTCATAAATCGATTTCAATTCATATCACTTTAACATCATAATACATGATTACAACACAAGATTCAACAAAAACACAACAAGAGATTCACAAGTAAGAGATAAGCACATTTTACGTGAAAAAATATAACATTATATATATATATATATATATATTATTAGTTTTATAACTTTTAAAAATATATATATATATATATATATTACAAATTTTCAAAATCTTAATTAAGTAGATAAGGATTCACTTTTGAAAAAATATATATCTATTTCTTTGCGATATAAAGAGGAAAAATAATATACATGGACAATGTAAAAAAAATTACACTCATTTAATTACAAACTATCATATACAAATGTGTTGATTTTGATAATAACAACCATAAAAATTAAACCAAAACTAATTTTTCTTTGATTAATTATATAAAGTCTTTTACATTAACCATACATATCCAATAAATCCGTATAAAGGACTCAATAATTTACTAAAGGTATTGAGAAGATATATTTATTTCAAAAAAGAACAGGCTGATGATGATTGCTGAAAATGACAAAATGGTGATATAGAAAATAATAATGCCGGGAGTGTGAATGTAAAGGTGGGTGGGAACATAATTGGGTGCCCCCCTAAAATGTAATTTTGGCATCTTATAAGTAAGGAAGGACAAAGAAAGGGAAAAAAAAGGAAATTGTTTGTTTGAGTTGTTGTCTCCATTGAAAACAACATTTAACAGGTGCCCACCATATCTTTCGGTTCCGACAAATTTTCAACTCTTACAATTAGTTTTTTTGTTTTAAAAATAATCTGTGACTCCTAATTTTATGCAGAAAGGCTCGCGCATGTGATAACCGGCCCTGACATTTTTCTCAGCAAAAGTTAATGCAGAAACAGCTTGTCAAATTTATAATTATAATATAATCTCATTGTTTTGGGACTGAGATATTTATAACCTCTTTCGAAGGTGATTATACACTTAAGTATCCATTTGGAGATATTGAAAGGCCATAATTAGAAGATGGTTAGTAATAGCTTAACTCTTAAGCCAATGGTTTAATTAATTCTTGCCCTATAAAGAAATCCAGTTCATATCCAACCTTCACGACTTGGTAACGTGGACCCGATCAGTAACTCATATGCCATTCTGATTTTCCATCTAAAAGGGATCTGGGCTACAAATGCTAATGCTAATCTGGCAAATCTTCGTTATCAAACTTTGTGTTGGGTTGGGTTAAATTATGATAAAATAAAATTTAAAAACTATTGAATATATATATATATATATATATATATATATATATATATATAAAAGGATTCGCAAACGCTAATTAATGTTTTAGGGGTACTGGTTAAAGAAAAAAATAAGATATTTTTATTAAAAAATATTATTAATATATTTCCATCATACACACAATATAATTTTCTATAAATTAGTAACTTTAAACTAATGTCCTCTAAGTATTAAAAGTTTTTGAAAGTAGTGTTACTCATTAAGAGTTGAGAGGTATTACTTACCTACCATAGGACTTTCATTTATTTTACCTTTGCTGCTAGTACCCACTAATCACTAAGAATAATTGCATCTATTTTGCACAAAGGCAAAACAGATAACTACTTATGGACTAAGCTAATTAGGAGGATTAAAATTGTTGACACTAAAATAAGAAAGATTCGTAATATGGAAATCGATTCTCATTTACGAATGTGTGGTAGGGTTTGACCAGTCGCAGACCATTTGCCTGCCAAACCTAAAAAGTTCAAGGTTTGTCTCCAATGAGGCTGTACATAAGATGAATATCTAGTTCCTACTTTACCCAAAAATATATTAGGTTATTTATTTATACATGAATCTGACCGATCAAGATCCAATAATGCATAAATGATAAAACCTACTTAATGGACACAAATTACACCTTCAGATGCCAATTTAGAGGTGTTCAGAAATGGGTTTATCCCGGTTACTGATCGACCCAAAGTTTTTATTGATTTGTTTATTTAATCAATTTGAACTGTGAACATAATATATCATCCTTAACATCATATATTAAATCATTGATATAGGATCAAGAGTTTGTTTTCTCCATGCACACTTTTAAATAATATTAAATAAATATTTTTTTTCATAAGTTAATATGCATAAACTAATTTCTAATTTATAGAACCTCTTTTCTATTCATTTCTCTAAAATACTTCTAAAAAAAAATAAGCATGAAAAATAAAATAATTTTTTTCAAAAATTAAAATTAACATATGCATAAGTAAGAGTGACAAAACAATCAATTTATTCATCATTCATTTATAAGTAAATTCATCCAATCCAACTATTATACAATATAATAATACTAAATTAAATTCATTCCATCCATTTAATTTTATGGATAGATAATGATTCATCCACTATTTTTCAAAATCTATTGAATTACAATAAGGAATATATTAGACTGAGCTTTTAAAAGACTACTTTAATATTTTTTTTTTTTTTTGAATTTTTAAAGATTATATGATAATTTAGTGACTTTTAAAAAAAATTAGATACTTTCACAAAAAAAAATTATTTGATTTCAAAAATATTTTCATAGATGAATCCAATATCCATCCGTTTAAAAAAATTTAATGAATAGATTATTCTTATAAAAAAAACAAACAAACAAATGGATTGGATTAAATTGAATTTTTAACTCATTTTCTTCAAATCTAAAAAAATTGGTATATTATTTATACTTGACCCATTATAATCTAATTTAAAAATTATCAGATTCATTAAAGCTTATCTGTAAAAACTTTTTCTTATATGCTTTTCTAGAATTAGCATATGCTTATATATAAAAATTAACTTATATATAAACTAATTTTGACTTACGAAAAAACTTATTTTAAATTTCCTTCTTATTTTACTTTCTTAGAAGTATTTTTGAATAATTGTATCTAAACAGACATGTAACTCAATTGGTTGAATAGGATACGTAAGTGTTGTAAACCTCTTTATTCAAGATTCACATAAATAAAAAAATAATAATAATAAACCCTTGAATTACAATAAAAATATCAATTTAAATATCATATATCGTACAAAATACTGTTTATCAATTCAAGAAATCCTATTATTAACATAATTATTAAAAAAAGTATAAATTTTAAAAGAATATAAGGTACCGACCAGATTAGAATGACTGTAAGTATAAATTAACTCTATCTACAGAGTATATCAAGTTTAATTTGTAAAATCTGAACTTGCCAAAATTAACTTCTGGAATAAAATAGCGGAATGATACGGATAATGAACAACCCATCTTTTTAAGCTTGTGAACCAATGGGAACTATTCGCTTCCCATGGCTGATAAATGCAGTTATACATACAACCCGTGATCCTTACCCATAATTTTTATAGCTTTAAATCTACTGTTCATATTTTAAAAAGATTAAAAATAAAAATAAAAAACATGTACACTTTTTTTTTTTACTACAACAGTATGCACAGCTTTTAACAATTTTTACTATTGTAACACGCCGGAGATTAATTAAGCTAAATGTCTCGGCAAAGTATAATTCAAAATCACCTCAGGTAGTGCTTTTCTTTGTGTCAATTATTTGTCCTCGCAGGAGATCATTATCCTTAATTTCACTTGCAACAGGAGAATGCGTTTAACTTAGCACCCTACAACTGCTGTATCACTGAAATAAGCAGTGATCGCCTTCAACTTTCCATTTAAATAAACCTTCTCCACCTAGAACCATGATAGAGGAAAGTGTTAATTTTCAAGGGAAAGATATTTAATAAGCCACCAAAGAATACAGTGATGATAAAAGAAACATAATAATAAACCCCCTAATAGATATATTATATGCTTCACATAAGACCAATTGTGAAGATATAACATCGAGAATAATAGTGTCCTGTTTCTATTTCCCCATATGTATACCACACGTGTTCTATTTTCCTCCTTGCTCATATTTTACATGTTTTAATGCTAACTCGGTTAAGAAGGGTTAACACGTAACAACCAGCCAAACCTGTGCTTATAGTTTTAAGCAATTTTATACAATAGCAGACCCAAGCAGCTAAAGTTCAAATTAATCTTCAGAGAAGTTTCTAGAGTATTGAGACAACAAAAACATGAAAACTTGATAAAGAAGAGGGGGGAATGCGGAAGGCACCGTTAATGAGATGGATCATATTGGGAATTGGAATCAGCAAAACTACATTTATCTTTCTGTTAATACCTCCTACTCTCAATACATAAAACATACGGCCTACACAGATTCTGTTAAGAGTCTCACATTAAGATTAAGTAGAATAAGAAATTCATTGTGATACTTAAATCTTGAGACTATCTCACCTAATAAACTAGTCTTTTGGATTAGACTATCCTCATGTACTTAAGTCTTAAAAATTGGTATCATTGAGAGTTGGACTACCGAAAAGGCTATCTATAAGCTGAATTAAGGTGCAAACCCCATACTAATAGGTGAGTAAAACCGTCAAATAGAAAAGGGCTACCATTGGGTCAATGTCGATAGAGTAAGATAGAGTAAAAATCGTCATGAGCATCAACTTTTAAAGGGAGTAGCAATGTTAAAAGTTCCACGTAGAATGAGAAATTCTATGTGGTACTTAAGCCTTGAGACTCTTACCTAATGGACTAGTTTCTTAGGTTAGACTCTTCTCATGTACTCAAGTCCTAACAGGTTACATACCTCATTCTTTTCCTACCATCGTACTCCAAACTAAAGGTCCAACCACCCTCTGGGCTCTACCAGTCTACTTGGGAAGTTGCATAGTAGTCAATCCCGGATAGCGGCGAGGAGCGGCCGACCCTAAAACTGGGATAGCGGGATGACGCGGAGCGGGATAACCGCTATTTAAATATTAATTTATATATATTAAATAATTAATAATATATATATATAAGCTAAAAAAACAAAAAAATAACTCTAAATTCATGCTGCAGAAATAGAAATAGAATTTTCTGAAATTAAAAATAAAATTTTCTGAATTAAATTTAATCAGAAATTAAAAATAAAATTTGCTGAATTAAATTTAATCAGAAATTAAAAATAAAATTTTCTGAATTAAATTTAATCAGAAATTAAAAATAAATTTTTCTGAATTAAATTTAATTAGAAATTAAAAATTAAATTTGCTGAATTAAATTTAATCAGAATTTAAAAATAAAATTTGTTGAATTAAATTTAATCAGAATTTAAAAATAAAATTTGTTCAATTAAATTAAATCAGAAATTAAAAAAAAATCAGTTGAAATAATTTAATAAATAATTAAAAAAAAAATATGTTGCATGTTGCATAAAAGGCATCCTCGAAGGAGAATAGAAGGAGAATAGAAGACAAACGCGCGTCGGAGCTTGCGGCCACGTCGGAGCTGCGTCGGACCTGGAGGCGCGTCGGAGTCCGAGGTGCGTCGGAGCTGGAGGCGCGTCGGCGATGGAGGTGCGTCGGAGCCGGAGTTCGTCGGAGCTGCACGCTGCACGCACGATAGCCAGAGAAGAAGAAAGGGAGAGACGAAAGGAGGGGTTTGGTTTGGATGAGTCTGAAATCGCGAGAGGGAAAGGGAGGATTAGGGCAAAAAAACCCCATTGAAAAGACCGACTTACCCTTAATGAAGGGTAAGTCTGAAATCGCGCCGCGATTCCGCGATTTGGGCCGCTCCGCTCCGCCTCCGACGCGGCCGCTCCAGCAGCCAGATTGCGGGGTGAGGCCGCTCCGCTCCGGAGCGCCGCGATAGCGGCCGCTCCGGCCGCTATTGACTACTATGGGAAGTTGGACACCTATATAACGATTCATGACAACACATCTATTCTTGATTATTCCATTGCATCTCTCAAGTGGTTAAGCCTGTAGGGAATACAATAACCTGATCATGTAAAACATACTTCAATTTTCCACCCAAAAAATGTAAAACGTACTTCATCTTTAGTCTACCAAACAGGCAACACCCATCACACTATCAACCATAAAATACTCTTTAACTCAAGTGAGATATACTGTCCGGCTCCCCACGCCCCATTTCTTTTCCTTAAAAAGGCTGGGGTCTTTGTAGATTACACTTCAAAATAAAGTATATAAAACAGATAAAAATTGAAATTACCTCTAGCGACCATGGTGGACAGGACAACAAAGATAACTCTGCCAATTGGTTGAAATTGATATTTTTTGGAAGGAACATAACAATTCTGGAAGCAATCTCCTTTGCAACTTTAAACAAAGTATATCTACACAGAAGCAGCATTGAGTTAAAATGGGAGTGCAAAAAGCTATGACTTTGCACCCAAAAAAAAAATTATATATATACAGGAGGGTTCAAACGACACCGGTATAACTTTTACTAAGTGTTACACCGCTCAATAACTTTATATTAAATGTGAATTTTAAAAATTCAACCGTTAAATTGAAAGTTCATATTTCTTAGATCATATATATCAAATTTCATATTAATCTAAGATAATTTGATACTTCATTCTCATAAAACAAAATTGACGTAATATATATATTTCAAAATATACTAAAATATGAACACTTCAATTACCTCAAGTTGTTGTTCAATTTTAATAAAATTTGACATACACGTATAAATTGATATGAACTTTCAATCTAACGGTTAGATTTATAAAATTCACATTTAATATAATGTTATTGAGCGGTGTAACACTTAGTAAAAGTTACACCGGTGTCGTTTGAACCCTCCTCATATATATATATATAAATTAAGAGAAAAAATTAAAGCAGAAAGACAAGCATCTACCCACCCATCATGGGGTCTAAGCATTGTCTTCATGTCATAAATAGTAGCCTTGGTATAATCAGGTCCCCCCCATGGTGGAGATAAGAAAACAGTATCAGCCTGCAACGCAATACTTTGTTATAAACTACCCAAAAATATAAGTTGTTATTGTTGAGCCCAAAAAAATATTTAGGTTAATATCTAGTACATGCCACTTGCAAATAAAACAAGCGCACCCAAACCTTGTGCAGAATTTATTAATTTTGATTAAAAGAGTGGGAGAAGTAAAGGATTTAATCTTGGAAACCTTTACTGCATGGTAAATAAAGACACATTAATAAACAAAATACTGCTGATCAGATTAAGTGTAGGTAGCTAGGCTACTAACAGTAACATCTTAACTGCATCTTCTTGCCTTCTAAACTGACTGGAAGGCAAAAGCTCAAGAAACAGAATCAGCAATGGCTAGAAACATCACATGGATGATGGATGTAATGGGTTTGGAAAGATGCAAACAGAAGCTTACTTGAGAAGATATGATAATACTAGAGATTTTACAAGGTCAAAGAATGGCACCAAGAAAAATATTCTGCACAGAAGCAATTGAAATTTTTAAGAGTGCATTTGCCCTAAATGCCAGAGCAAACAGATAGTAGAAAAATAACAACAATAACATGACAGCTCAAGATTAATAAACAAAGACAAAATGCAAATATCACTCTTTTTATTCAATGTTTTTAATATCATCAATTCTCAGTACAATAAATGTTCTTGATTACTTTTGAAAGTTGACATTTACTACAACACAATTGCAAATTTTGGCTTCTTCCAGTCACATTTCATTCATAATCCAGTATCAAACTCACTCCCTCTGTCATCCAAATCTATATGAAATCATAAAGGCAACACCACATCAAGTCCGAGAGATAAACCATGAAATCAAGGGAAGTATAAAGGTAAAAAAGGCAGATATTCCATACCTCAAGCACAAAAACACAACTAAATCAGAAGCAGAACTTTATTATCCACACACACTTTGGTAGGTCAGGAAGGGTTCATGTGACCACCCATGTGCCCCCTCCCCCTCTCTTCTAATAAAGATTCACACCCAGGTTTTTTAATGATTTGATACAATATTATAACTAGCATCAAAATTACAGTGATCATTTGATTTTTCAAGAAATTTCAACATATTGAAGAATCCATTTAACATGACAAGTCTAAAAAAAAACTTGATAAGATACTTGACATGAAATTATGTTTTGAGACTTTCTGAAATATTTATAAGAATTACTGAGTTTTGGAAACTTGCGTGGCTTGAGCTAGCCAATGGTGTCCTTGTTATCCACAAGTTACAGAACTGACTGATGTTCAGATTGTGAAAGAATAAACAAGGAGATCAAAGCATCTAGCTGGGCTAAAGATGATAATAAAATATGTTCAGAAGGAAAACAGGCAGAGCACAAGTATTACCTTGGTATTGGCAAATACAATGGAGGCAAGAGATCACAATTAGACAGGTAAGAACCGGGGAAAAATATCCAAAATTTTACCCTTGCCTGCCTTAAATATTTTTGTTGTTCATTAGAAATTTCAAAACAGAAGCACCCTGGCCATAATGTGCATCAATTATGACATTGACCTCCCCCGAGCAAAAGACAAAAATAGTACCAACATCAGCAAAGCATGTTATATGAAAACCTTGTTACCTTTAACTTTGGTGCCAAGAGGAAGAAATCACCCACTATGAAGTCAATTTGATCATCCACCTCATAAATACCAGCATTATGCCTAGCATATTCAATCTTCAATGGATCAATATCAATTCCAATTACATGCCTGCACCTGTAATATCAAATAATTCCTTGCTAAGTAGAGATCAACAATCATTTTCAAAGAACAAAAAATTTCTGACAGAAAAAAATAATAATTTTACTTAAGTATTGGAAATTTTAATATTATTGTTTTATAGTGGAATTAACACTAGGGATCCAACCTGAATCACTTGACTAGATAAAATGACAAACATCATTATCTCTTTAACAAGTTAAAACAGTCAAAATGAAATGATTATTGGAATTACAAATTAGTAGTTATGAAGCCCAGATACTCCAAAAATGGAAAAGTATCGATGTCATACCCATATCACACATCAATACGACTCGGATATGCCAGGATACATATCCAAGGAGTATTCAATTACTTTTTTCTTTTTTTAAAAAATTATTGGATACAACCTTGATACAACTCAATTGCTGGATACGGCTTTATAACATGTGATACGGCTTGGATAAATTTTTTTACCCAAATGTCTGTTTTATTACTACTTTAAATTTTTATTTTTAGTTTTAAAATTTTTAAACAGGAAAGTCCTTTTAAAAGTTAATATAATATGCATACTCTACAGTGACACATTTCACGCAAAACACCATACACTTGTCTCTCCTTCCATATGCTTTCTCTCCTCCCAACTCTACATATTCCGATGACGATTCTAGTCGGTGGGTCTCTTCCCGATAGCTTTCTCTCAAGCGGTGCATGATATTTTCAACTCTCTCTTCAAGCAATGACCTTTCTCCTTCCTGACATTTCTGCGTATCTTTATGAAGTAATTGATGATGCATTGTTTATCAAGACTTTTATCATGACTCATTCCATGAGATTAGCTATTTTTAATGAGTTTTCTACTCTTAAATTGCTTTCAGTAGCTGACACTCGTTTTGCCTCTATGATAGTCATGCTAAAAAGATTGAAATTGTTGAAATCTAGCTTGCAAAACATGGTCATTAGTGACCAATGGAATAGTTATAGGGAAGATGATGTTGGAAAATTTGCACGTGTTAAAGAAATCATTTTAAATGATATATGGTGGGATAAAGTTGATTACATTCTTTCTTTCATAGATCCTATATATAGCACGATTAGAATATGACAGCAATGCTTCTACTCTTCATTTGGTGTATGAAATGTGGGATTGTATGATAGAAAAGGGGAAGGTAGACATCTATAGGCATGAGAAAAAGCAACCAAATGAAGTATCCAACTTCTATAATGTTGTTCATGATATTCTCAATTATAGGTGGAGCAACAGTTGTACTCCTCTTCATTGCTTAGCTCATTCTCTAAATCCAAGGTAATTTTTTGAAGTCAATGATTAATGGTTGTCTTCTCTTTGGATAGCTAAAATCATAATGACTAAATTGTTTTTTTTATTTATTTATTAATAGGTATTATAGTGAAGTGTGGCTTAGTGAAGCTCCAAATAGGGCCCTCCTCATCAAGATGATTAAGTTTCTAGAGAGAGGAACAAATGTATAAAGAGATATTTTTCACATGTTGAGGAGAGAAAAAATGTTTATGAGCAATTCTCCAAATTCTCATCTTGTGCGGGTGACTTTGGTTCTTTTGATTCAATTGAGGATAGGTGGCCGGTGGGTACTAGATCCAAAAACATGGTGGGTGATGCATGGAACTTCTACACCGCTACTCCAAAAGCTTGCCTTAAAACTTCTTGCACAACCATGCTCTTCCTCATGTTGTGAGAGGAATTGGAGTACATCTTCATTCATTCTTAGAAAAGAAACAAAATGGATCCAAAAAGGGCTGAAGATTTGGTTTGTGTGCACTCAAACCTTCGACATTTGTCTAGGAAAAGTGAATTTATAAAAAAGGAGAGACAAGACTGTGAGATATTAGTGGAGATGTACATAATCCACTTGATGATAGTACTGTTGGAATTCTTGAGCTAGCAAATGTCTCTTGATGAGCCAGATTTAGAAGCTTTTTTTTTTGGATGATGGTAATGGGGGAGAAGAAACTGATAATGTTAGCATTAGGCAGTAATTTGAATTTAGTAACTAGTAATGATGCTTTTGAATTGTAGGCTATTGTATAAAGCCATGACTTGCTTTGAGTTCTATCAAAAATACAAGTAGAAACTGCATTTTTTTGTTTATTATGATCACAAGTATCTTTTTTGTAAATTGTGATCATCATAGTTATCAGCTATGAATTATGAATTAATGAAATGATCAATATTTCTCTCTCTTTTTTTTACCAATATTTTATATTTATATTAATTTTTCTATTTTTTTAATGTATCGTATCCTTAATTTCAAAAAAAAAAAAATTGTATCCCCATATTTGTGTCGTATCGTACCCATGTCGTACTAAGTATCTAGGCTTTATAGACCATATAAATTGGAATACTATGCATAAAATACAGGAAGAGAGAACACAGGGTGTAGCAAATGTTTTAGGAATCCAATATGGGATTCACAAGGTCAACAGTCCAATCAAAACAAACCATTTACTGAAATGCAAATGTATTATTTTGTGTCAGGTAAAAACAAAAGGATGAAGTGTGAAGGTGCAGCCATAAACTAACCCGTGAGAAAATAAATGCACTCAGGTAGGCATACCAGATACATATCCAAAGTAACACAAGGAAGCAGTGTGCATAAATTAGATGATAAAAACAAACCAAAGGACATATTTAATGTTTCTCCTTTGCTATCTTATCTTAATGCTATTCAAGTTGCTAAAAGAATAGATTAATCTTAATTAAATAGATATAAGTCTATTTTTCTTCCTTGGAAAAGTACAAGTCTTTTTTATGAGTTTTGGTGAAACAATATTCAGTAAATATTGTCCATCAAAGTCACCAAAAACTAAAATGAATTTATAGGCTGCTATCACAAGTAATTAATTAGGATCAACTACTCAGTACTCACTTTTGTGCAAATTGGATAGCATTCCCACCAACACCAGTGAAACCGTCGATTATCACACCAGTAGCACATCGTATTGCTTGATATTGAGCAATAGCCTCTGGAGTGACAGAAAACCATCCTTCCTCGTCCATTTTTACACCATCATCATATCTAGAGAACAAAGTATACCTCTGACACCAATATTTTCCAATTGTAGCAGAATACACTTCAGGCACTTCTTGAAAGTGCATATCTGCAAAATCCAAAAATGGTATATTACAAGGACAATATCAACAGCAAATTGCACCTACTGAGCAAAATCTATATTTAGGCATTAAATGTCACATGACATTGAAGAATCAGATTTTATCAATCATACAAGCATCTATCCAGTACCCTAGGTATTTGACTCCAAGAACATCAAAGCTATTTCATAAGCAGCTATCAAGTGTTATATGTATTTGACTCCTAGTAGAAAGTATTATCATACCAGTGGATACAAATAGCTAAAAGATTTAGTAGAATGGCAACCATATTGCAAAAGCCAAACATATGGTAGAAGCAGTTACCAAGAATAAATTGTTAACACAAACCTTCAGCTTCATTATATAGTTTCCTCTGCCTTTGTCTTCTTTTTACTTTCTTACTTTTTGTTGACTCGAAAGGATCAGATTTAGTATCCAGTTCAGAAGTATCAATTTCCATGTTTTCCAAGGGTGTATGATTAACCTCTGGTGCTGCTTGAATGCAACTTTCATTAGAGCTGCAAAGCATATCAATTGTTGTAAAAATCAGAAAATATAGTTAAGATATGCACACTCATCATATTATTGTTACTTGTTAGAGATATAAACCATTCACAAGCCTCCAGTTGGAAGCTTAAGCTTTTGGGAGAATTGGTTCATGACCAACTTTTTCCATACCTGATCTTCCAATAAAAAAATGTAAGCTATTTTGATTGTGCTGCTTCATTCAAGCCTAACCATTTTCACCAAACTAGCTAAAATTTTGGGAGAGCTAATCCTTTACACTTTCTAACTCTTCTAGTAATTTTTAACATTGAAAGCCTTTGTCTGCTTTGCAATTTATATTATCTGTCTAGAAAAAGTTATTAGACATATTTAGAAGACAAAATATAAGGTATAGGTTCAGCAATCAGCATTTATGTTGTTATCCACAAGGTGCAAAACTTGTCAAGAGTCAAGACCAATCTGCTTTAGTTTAATGTTACAATGTGTTAAGAGTTTTAAACAGATTAAAAAATTCAAAATGATTTGATAAATGTTTATAGATTTTATTTCATTTATGCTTGAATTAAAACTAGAACAGGCATTACCTAATGATATTATCCTGAGTATTTGATACTGAGCAGCATGAGACTCCATCATTGCAACTACTTCTCTCAAGACACTCATTCGAATGATCAAGAGATTGGTCTTCACCATGTGTAGTGACGTCAGAGACCAAATTGCCAACAGCAACTCCAATCTCAGACAAATACTCTTCATGTTGCTTTCCTTCCAAGTTCTCTTCAATCAATGTTTCCTCAGGTGGTTTAGTGTTATTTTGTGTTCCACACTCCTCTGCTGCCTTTAGAGTTTCACTATCATCTGATTCAGTACACCCAGCAATTACCAGATGCTCCATCCCCAAGGGTGTGTCCCATGTAGAAGTGTGTGTTTTAATATTATAGAAGTATGTTCTCTTATAGAAAGTATCCCAGAGGGCCATCCAATCACCAAGTTCACCATAATTATTTGACACATCATTCCTGTCACATCCAATCCCTTCTGAACTCGCACAAAGAAATTCTGATTCAATAGCATGTGAATGACAAGTGGCAGCAGCAGCAGCAGCATCATAAAAAGGCTCACCATCTATATTTTTGCCAACAATTGGTGAAACTTCTAAACATTCACTGTCTGTCAAGCTTTCAACATATTCTGCCCCACAGTAATTGACACCAGCACCTGTCAAATAGCTTCCAGCAGAGACTCCAGTATCTGAAGTAGGTGCAGCTTTCAAATCAACACAATAATTGCTGATTAAAAAGTCACCATCCTGGGCATCATTTGTTGTAGCATGATTTATATTATCATTTATCACCCTGGAAACACCACTAGCAAATCCAGTACAGCAAGCTGAATTATCTCCTTCACCAGAGGGACATTGGGTCATATCATGATCTATTGCATCATCACAGTAAGATGATTCACTTTGGCCCAGCATTGACATACAAGATAAAGAACTACTTGTTTTATCATGAAATTTAGAAGGAGATGCCTCCTCCTCCCCACTCACTTTATGTTGAGTTTCATCTACAGGGTTGTGACAAGTATGTGGATGCTTCGATCGTTTACCCTTTTTTTTTCCTTTTACCGATCCAAATTTCTAGTACAAGATAGACAAAAAAATATGATTAATTGCACTCTTATAAGTAATAGTATAATGGTGTATACAGAGCAGAACGTGTATGATAGAGGAGAACAACTGACAATGCTCTCATTGAAAACAGGATAGACAAAATTTGTTATAAGAAAATTAAAATCATGTCCTTTATGAACCTGTTCAGTTTGCCACCGTATCAACATTAACTATTATTGAATTCACTGCAAAGACAAATATGAACTATATAACTTTAAACCTGCACCTATTGTCTTTTAAAATTAGATTTGGACTTCACTATTTCTTAAGCCACAGAATGAGCCAGTCAAAACTCATTTGCTAACATGTTAATAAGTTAATCACTAAATAAGCATTTGGGTTCATTTTTGGCATGACTAAACTTGTATTAAAATTAAACATGCAAGAGAAAAGGAGAAATTTACGGGGTCACAAATTCAAGCCTGCTCCACACCCTAACTTGTTAAAGCCTATAGAATCCAATTGGAATAGAATTAGTAGTTGATTAATTAAGCTCATTAGTCATTATCAAACTTGAAAACTATTGAGCTTAGAATGAGACAAGTTTGGACCAAGAAAACAGGCTTACTTTCTTATCCAACATTGAGTCTAAGCTGTAATGAATTTTTATTGGGTTGAGTCAGAGCTTGAACACCGTGGATTTCACTCCTGTAAAGTGAGAGGTACACTTCAAAAGAAAATGTATAAACTTACAAGTTACGAACTTGCAATCATTGATCGGAAAATTAACAGAGTAGATTTTAACAACATCACAGAAAAGACACGTGCATATATTTTATTAGAATTACTATATCATCTATTGCTTTTCCAAATAACAAAAGCCAAATTGTATTAAAGCATTTAAAGAAAAACAATTTATCTGTATACGCATACCTTCTTGTTTGTCTGGAAAGAAAGAGGGAGCCCCAATTCATTCAGTTGTTTAGTAATTTCTAAATCCTCGGCTGTAATAAAGCCACTCGAATCTGCAGAAAAATACAAGAAATACAAATTTTCTTTAAAAAAAATAATAAAAGAAACGGTTAAAAATTTAAAAAAAAAAAAAAAAAAAGAGAGCGAAAATTGTTGAAATGAAGAGTGAAAAGCACTTGCCAGCGCGAACGGGGCTAGAGGCGTCATTTTCATCCGATTTCTAACACACGAAAACGAAGCCACATGAAAATCAAAATTGGATAGAAAATTCATAAATATTGAGGAAGATTAAGTTACCGCGCGTTGAGCAAAGAATGGAACCTGGACGCCATCGTCTCTGTAAAAAAACGGTGGAAAAGAAGTAGACGAAAGTAAAAGCTAGGTTTTAGATAGAAGAAGAGTGGAGAGTGTGAGTGATTGAGTGAGTGAGTACTACTACTAACCGGAGGAAGACTTGGGTGACTTTAAAGAGAGAACCGAGGGCTTCGATTGCGGGACCTTCGTAGTCGGAATCAGCCACGACCATGCTTGACAACGAGTCTCGTAAGAGAAGCTTCTTTCGCAAACTATGTAAGCACTTTGCTTCCCCGGTATTTAAATCAACTTCGACCTCTCTGTGCAATAATAACTTATATCTTCGGCTTCACATTTTTAAATCATGTAATCTATTTTAGGCTTTAACTTTTATTTTATTTAAACATATGCAAAGGGTTTTAATTTAATTATTGATCGAAAAATATTTTTAAGATAATTTCCTAACTAGTTATTCTAAAATGTTTTTTTTATATTTTTTTCATAAATAAATTTTATTTTGTGTCTGAAATAATCTTAATTAAGTCAGATAGAAAAGTTCTCCGATATAATTAATTAAAAGTAGGTTTAAATATAATCTTTATAATTGTTTTCATCCTTATCAAATTAAAATTATTGCTTTTAGTTTCTATTTTTATATAATTATTTTTAACTATTTTTATTTATTAAAAATTTAAATAATCATTTCAGGTGTTACTTATAATCATTACTAATATCATATTTATATTTAACACTTTTAAAAAAATTATAGGTCTTAAAATAAGTGTTATTTATCCACTTTAGGATGATCATTATAAGTTAAAAATAGTTAGTTTAGATTTTAGATGGATAAAAAAAATTATAGGAATCAAAAGAAAAATTTACTTATTTTACAAGGACCAAAAATAATGTTTATAAATTTTAAAAGGATAAAAAATAAATAAAAATTTTAGAGGAACTAAAATTAAAATTATTAATTTTATAGAAACTAAAAACATATTTAAATCTTAAAAGTATTAAAATTAAATATATTCTTGTTTTGACCTTAATAAAAAATATATTTTTATTTCATTAAAATTAACTAATAATACAAAATCACCTATTAACAAAAATTCTAAATCAATAATATAATTAAATATATGATAATCAAATAATAATATAATATATTTATAGGTTAAAAACATCTTTTGATCCCTGATAATATTTTTTTGTTTCAATTTACTCTCACTTTAATTTTAGGTCTCAATTTGGTCCCCAATAATTTAAATCATTGCAATTTGGGACTTCCATCCAAATAATTTAAACGGGGTTAACTCCTGCTGACATGGATGCCAGGTGGATGTTACGTAGATGCATAGGTGGATGTCAAATGTCATGAATACACCTGGAACCAGAACGGTCCGTTCTGAAACTAGAACGGCCCGTTCTGCATGCACATGTTATGTGTTAATTTTGCAACTGGAACGGGCCGTTCCAAATGTAAATTTAACACAACATGAGTGCACCAGAACGGGCCGTTCTGCTGTTAGAATGGGACGTTTTGAATTCAGAACGGCCCGTTCCAGAACGTCAACTTCATGCTTTTTATTGTATTTTTTTTATTATATCTATATTAATAAAAATATAATAAATAAAAAACACAATAAATTAATATTTATTTATGAATAAAACTAAAAAAATATCAAATAAGATAAGACCTTCCAAAATCCTTTTTTGATTTGAACTTAGCCAGTTCAAAATCTTGATTAAAATACCGCAATGTGATTCAAAAATTGAAAATAAAAATTCATAATATATCATAAATTCAAAGACAGAAACATGGTTCAGAAACTAAAAATAAAAATTCAGAACATAACATATACTAAAAAAGTTCAAAGAAATTATTGAGAAAGGAAATCATCTAGGTAACGTTGAAGGGAAACCCTAAACCACAAAAAATTCAGGTTGTACCTCCTCAAGAACAGGTTGTTATTGTTGGGGTACATCGTCAATGACTTCAAGGAGAAATAGCGTTTCGTTTCATTCTTGACTATATAGTGTCAATTTGGTAGTAAGTGGTTTACTCCAGTTTGAATAACAATGAAATAAAATTTGTTACCATTGTCCTTAGTAATACACAGCATCGTCCTTAATGATACATTGTATAGCCCAAATGTTTAGCAATTGAAGTTATCAATCCCCATTAACAATATTACCAAATCTAATATTTGAAATGTTTTGTACTTTAGTTTTTTTGTGCACGAAATTTTGGAACCAGAACGACCCGTTCTGAAACCAGAACAGTCCGTTCTGGTTACACTGTTGGTGTGTTAATTTTGCACCTGGAACGACCCGTTTCAGGTACAAAATTTACACACCAATAGTGTAACCAGAACGGGCCGTTCTAGTTTCAGAACGGGCCATTCTGGTTCCAGGTGTATTCAAGTATTTTGGGATCCACCTACGTGGCGTCGTGGCATCCACCTGACATCCATGTGGTCACCAGTTAACTCCGTTTAAATCATTTAGACGAAGTCCCAAATTGCAATGATTTAAATTATTGGGGACCAAATTGAGACCTAAAATTAAAGTGGGACTAAATTAAAACAAAAAAATATTATAAGGGACCAAAAGAAGTTTTTAACATATATTTATACTATTACATAGTATTTGGTTGAATGAGAGCGAAGATTTTAAAATATTTTTGATATAATATTTAAAATATTATTACATGTGTTTTAAAATTTAAAATTGTAATAATAAAAGTATAAATTAATTTTTTAAATTTATTTTCTCTCTTTCTGAACCAAATAAAAAAATGAGTTAATACATGTTCATTAAAATTCTTTCTCTCCTCTCTATCAAATAGAACTTCTAATTCCTCCTTCATTTTCCTCTCTTCCATTAAAATTCGTCTCATCTCCTTTTCTCCTTTGAATCAAAGAGACTCTTAATAAAAATGATATTATTTTTTATAATTGTCTTTCACATCACTTTCATATTAGCATAATTGTCGATATTTATATTTTGCTAAATTTATTTTTATATTTTTTTTGGAATTGTTCATAAATATTGTAATTACGTTTTTTTCTTTAATGCAAACACATAGACTTGCTATCCATTTTCTTTTTATCATATTTTACCTCTACAAGACAACAATTACATAATATTACTCGTATTATCTGAGTGTTAATTAAGTATTTATTTATATTTAAAATTATTTATTTTTATCTTTTATTTTATTTTTATCACTTAAATATATTTTAGTTTTTGTAAAATGAGTAAGTTTTGATTTTGGTCACTAAAATTTTTTACTTGTTTTTCATCTCTCTAAAACTTAAAATTATTATTTTAAGTTCCCATTATTATGTAATCATTTAACTACTTATTTATTTATTAAAAAGTTAAGTAATTACCACAATTAGTACTATATTAGTGTGTGACTAAAAGTTTGATAAGTTTTTAAATAAATGTTAATTATATTCATTAAAATCATTATTAGGATCTTTTAATATGTAACACCTCTAAATCTATTAGTGTGATGGGGTTGAGAATTGTTAAGAGATTTCAACCAAGCGTTCCTAGTGGATTAAGAGTTGTACTTGCGACATGACGTGTTATGGGTATAGGTTGTTAGAGCTAAGTATGATTGTGGAAAATCTGTTATTCTTGTTATTAATGCAAATCAACTAGACTCTAATTTTTGGTAGGGTATTTGTATATGTTGGAATTATTTTACTACAGGAATCAAGTGAAATAGTTTTTGGCTTGAAATATTGGCAATTGGGAGCTGGTGGAGTTCTAGAACTATGACTAGCTACCTAGTACAAGGATTTTTCTTAGCAAAGCCACTGGTAGCATTCCATCTACGATGATTTCTAATATAGTTAAAGACGTTGTTGTTGAGATGGGTGATTAGAACTTCTTCTATTTTGCACAACTTTCTTGATAACTCTGTTTTAGCTTGCATTCAAGTCATTCCTCCCCTGATATATTAAGAGGACTTAATGTCATATCTTAGAAAGGAACCCTAAATGGTAAAAAAAAAAATTGTTTCATTTGCATATGATGACATAACTTATGGTACTGACATTAAGAAGAATTTGTTATTTGATGTTGTTTGGTGTTGGCTTGGTGCATAGAGAGTGCGCATTTTGTTGTGGGAGGTTTAGGCTTAAGAATGTGGGGTAAGGCTTCTTGTTTCAAACGTGGGGTAAGGCTTAAGAATGTGGATCATGTTCTTAGATTTTGCCATCCAGCTAGGGCTATCTGGTACATGCTACTATTAGGACAACAACATTCTTTGTTTTTAATTAAGATCTCTTGTTGTGGCTTCTTTCTAATCTAAGTGATTCATCTAGTTTCATAGTAAAAGTTGGAATTTGTTGTTTGTCGTAGCTCTTGTTGTTTTATGACAATGCCAAAATGGTTTTGTTTTCTAGGGTGTTACTTTGCAACCTTCATATATATATTTTGTTGGTGTGAAAGCCATTAGTATCAACTATTTATAGGATGTGGACCGTAACAATTCTATTGGGATGACTGGGGTGCCATTGCAAGTTCAATGGACTCAGCCCCTCATAGAAAATTAAAATTAAATTGTGGCACATTGATTAATGCAATGAGAGCGTTGTATAGGTACATTTTGTAACCATATAGGAGCAATAATTTTCTCTTTTGTAGCACATATTGGCTTCTATTTAATGCTACATGCTGAGTTGTGGGCAATACATATCGAAATCATCATTGCTTGGTACAAAAGGCTTTATGAATTTTCTTGTGGAATTTGGCTTGGCTAATGCAATAACGAAGTATTTTTTCTTTCAATATGATTGATGGAAGTTTATATTAGTCCATGTTCTGGTATACTTAAAAGTTTCACATCGCGTAAGAGTTGAGAAATGGTGGGGTGAGACTCCTTCCTATTATTTCCCCCTCTTACTTTTCTGGCCACCGTCATCATCAACGGACCCTTTTTCCTTCCCAACCACCACCTCCTTCGCAACTGGAGGACCAGAGCTAGAAGGATGCGACATAACCAAGAGTTTCAAAATGAAATGGCTTTAAGAAATGGAGAAAGGGAAGAGTACCTGGACTATACTTGACACAAATAACGTGAGCGGTGGCTGGAGGAAGCAATGCAATGCAGAGCATAACACGAGCAAGGAGGGAAGAAGAGACAGAGAAAACAAGGAAATGAAAAGTTTGAACGAAGGGAGAATGAACCAAATGAAGTGGCACAAAGAACTTAAGACCATAAAACAACAAAAAAAATGACAGAATAAACCCTATTAAATAGGACCCATAATGACGGGGTACAGCCCATCATTATGAGTCATCATCTTTCATTACAGTCGCCACCGTTTCGCGTCCCTAGACATTGTCTCAAGAAACGAAGCACCCTTGGAAGACACATGGAATACAACTAAACACATCGAGAAATGAAAAGCCACGACACCTCGCCACGCAAAATCCCAAAACAAGCTCTTCAACTTGTTCTAAGTCGGGGGGCTAGTGTACCGCCACGATAAGTCGGCACATCGGGCATCCGATGATAATTGACATCAGACAACAAGACTTACCTCGGGTAAAGCAAAGCCACTCCCCAACAGAAAGATAAGAAGATAAAAGCAAGATCTCATCGTAACTAAGAAGATATTAACAAAAGACGGGGAAAACCCTAAATTGACTAAGGTACGTGCATTATATATAAAAGACATCTACACTATCAATGACTAACTTAAGCATCATAATCTCTTTTGCAGATATCACCCCATCTCGGAGTGACCAATTTGCAAAGCAGAGAAGACTCCCCGATTTCATTAGAAAAGTTGTTTTGAGGCCAATCTCAATTGAGAACAGTTTCCTTGAAGCAAATCAAGTAATAGATTTAGCCGAATTTTAGTTTGCCTCTAAAGAAAAATATATTTGTGTATTGATGTAAAGCCTTTTTTTTTAATTGTTAAAGTTGATGTGACTTAATTTTGTACCATCACTAAATTTTTATGTTTTGTTTGGGGGAGAGAAAAGAAATTAAAGAAAATAAAAGAGAATATTTAAAAATTGATTTAATAAAAAATAAAATTTATAATTATTTAATAAAGTAAAATTAGATCAGAAATAGAAAAAAATTGGTAACTTAAAGTTATATTTTTATTATATTTAATCCTTTTTTGGTAGAGTGAGACAAAAAAAAAGTAACTAATATATTAAATTTTGTCTCTTTTTTAAATTTCTAGCAAATTCCCTCTTTTTATAAGACATTTTTCTTCATGAACTTACCTATATTTATTTTCAAATCCTCACAAATTACTACCTAGAACAATCTAGATTTTTTCAATTCTTTATAAATTATTTTTCTTCTCTTCTAATTTATTCTAAATTATGTCTTCCAAAAATATTCTTAATTACATTTTATTGGAATTGTATACCTCTTTAATTAAGAACGATGACAATAATAATAATAATAATAATTTATAAAATAAATTTTGATAACTATCCTTATAATTTTTATTTTTATTTTATAAATTTAACAAAATTTCTACTTTCAAAATAATATTGGGGTTAAGGTTAATATTGATTCATCGCCTGGAACCCGCGCCTGCGGTGAGACCAAACACACTCAGTCACAGCGCGGAAACAGTTATCGCTACACACACAGTACAACAATGGAAGACGGCGACACGACGGAGGATGCGGCTGTTGTTCCGGTCGCAAGCGGCGACGGCGACGGCGACGCGCTTGGGTTTCCACATTCCTCGCGCCACCGCGATCCGGAGGAGGAATTTCCGCAAGAATTGCTGCGTAACACGAAGGCTTCATTAGAGAACATCGTGGCCGAGATTCTCTCTCTCAAGAGCCATCCCAAGCCCAAACCTCTCCTCACTCTCCGTCTCCGAGAGCTCCTCACTCAAACGTTCCTCCACTTCGTCACTCTCCGCCAGGTCCCTCACGCTAGGGTTTCATTTTCATTTCCGCAATGCGACGTCGTAACGTAACTAACACTAACACGTGTTTGTTTCCGTTTTTCAGGCGAACCGGTCGATCTTGCTGGAGGAGGAGCGTGCGAGAACGGAGACGGAGCGTGCGAAGGCGCCTCTGGAACGCACCGCGCAGCAGCTTCACAATCTCGTGTACGAGAAGAGTCACTACGCGAAAGCGATTAAGGCGTGTAGCGATTTCAAGTCGAAGTATCCCGATATTGAAGTGGCGTCGGAGGACGAGTTTTTTCGCGACGCGCCTCGGAATATGAAGGACGCTGTTTTGTCTAATCACAGTGAACATAACCTCGTGCTTAAGAGGCTCAATTTTGAGCTGTTCCAGGTAAGTTAGAGTCACGTTTGCTTCTGTTTATTGAACCAGAGTCGGTTACTAGTTTTTGAAGCCTTAGGAGTTAGGGAGGTTTTAAATTGTGGTTGTCATTTCGTTGCATTAAATTGTGGGAAAATGTGGCTACAATTGCAGTTGCTTTGCTATGATTGAAATTGCTGACTGCTTTCTAAAACCTTGCATCTTGCATGTACTCATGGAAAGAATTCAATGCATTACTCATTTCTATCATTTTTATAATATCCAATTACCTAAGTCATCATTATCTATTTCTTACGAATTAAGAAAGTTGGTTAATTTTATTGATAACATTATATTTGTCTTGAATTTATATATATTTTTTTCCAAAATTATCATGAACCTTAATGAGACACCTTCTCTCCTTCAACTCCACCAGCTACTTATTGACTAAAAAAATTACTTTAATTGAGGCTATTTACTGTTAAAAAAAAATGTTAGTGACATTCTAGATTGGTTCTTATAAAAAAGATAAACAACATTCTTGATCTAGGTCTAACAAAAGGAATTGGAAGAAGTATATTGACCCTATACCTTATAGATTGTTCTGCTCTTAGGCTAGGGCATCTGATTCTTGACATTAAATGAGTAATAAGCTTAGGAAACTTTAGGATCTTGTAGTTTGGAAAACTCCAGTCTTAGGATGTGTGTTTGAATCTAACTTAATACTACACAACCTACTTGTTAAGTGATGATTGATCCTTACTTGTAAAGTTCTAAGTGAAGCTTTACCGAATAAAGTTCTAATTCAAAAGAAGCATCCATGGAGGGCCCCAGAAACATCATTAATGGCTATGTCTTATTTTCTGATTGCCATTTTAGTGACTCTTTCAAAATTAAACATGGAAAACAATTTTCCTTAGAATGTAAACTTGGTGTGCTCTTTTATGAGAAAAACAAGATGTGTCTCTTCACCGTACATGTTGGAAACCAGAGAGGTCACCAAATCCCTCATGTATATCCATGACATGTTTGAGTCCAGCAAAAGATTTCTCCTGTTTTATACTGGGAACTTATTAGGTTCTCCCTTAACAAAAGAAATATTTTGCTGTCATTAGATGTTTTCACTTAGGCCATAGTGTTAAAAATGTGGTATGTGGTTCAGAGTTATCCTAGATCCAAGGGCGATCGGTATTTATACACGCACCAAGCTCAATAGTGCTAAGTATAAGGAAGTGTATTGGAAAAAACCCTAGTCCCATCTATCCTAAATCATTAAAAAGGATCACTCATCATTTATTCATGTATCTAGTCCAATACTGTTGAACATGAGAGGGTGTATTGGAAAAAAACTCAGGTCGATTAGAGATAAGACAAACAAAGTGCATATAAATGGGAGAACAATCCTTACCACACAACCGGATTTTTTAGGTTGAGTTAGGTCAAACCCACTTTCATAGATCCAGGATTACCTATGTCTTGGTATTATGGAAGTATTTTTTTGTCTAAAAAAAAACAAACGAAAGAAAAACAATGGAACTATTTAATTATCAGATGTTTGTAACTTCCAAATTGTATTACTGTGGTCATGGATGCTTCTTCTTTCGGTACTAAGTTTTTGTATTGATAAACTGGTTGTGCTTTAAAAGATGGATTTGAGGAGTAAATAGACGGTGGCCTTGTTTCAATGTGTCTTTCTGTATTTGAGAAAAGTTTATATATCAAATAAACCATCAATTTCGTACCTGAAGTATAACTTTCTTAAATGTTTCCTTAAGTAAAATAAACTATGTAACTAATATAAGTAATGTCTCAAATATTAGGAATTCATGGTAAATAGTCTCCCGAATATTAAAATCCCCCCAAATTGGTCCTTGAACTTCACTAAAATACATCTACTTAGGGATTAAATTGTTAAATACTACTACTATTTCTATATATAAAAAATAAATGAGAATATTATTTTAGTCCTAATAATAAGATTATAAGAAATATAAGGGCATCTCCAATGGAGATATCTTTTTTAGACTCTTAAGTGGGACCCACATGTACACATCACTCATTTTTACTCTTTTCAATTTAAGCACCTTTATAAACTTTTTGCTCTCCAATCCAGCATCTCTCTTTCAATTCTTAAATGGGTCCCACAAAAAATCTTACATTTTTACATATCATCAATAATTTATTTATTAACTTAATTTTTTTTATTGTTATAAATAAAGAGATTTTTTATTCTACTATTTTGCAAAATATTTTTTCATGATACAAAATAAAAAATAAATATTTAACTAAATCAAATTTTATTTAAAATGATGAAGCCAACTAAATTACGCAAGTACGGCAATATTAAAATTACAAAGTTAAAAAAAGTACATAATTAAAATAATAACTAATTTTGCAAACTGTCACGCCCAAAACGTTCCCCTATATGCTCCACAAGGCCGCCTTGAAGTTGATGATGACGTTGTCTATCACGGAGAAGTATTTTCTTTTGTAGATATGGTGCAAGATTTGGATGAAGACCATTATGTATGTTGGTTGTTGAGATATCATTGTTGAAATGTTCATAAGAATAATCAAAATTACAATCATATGTTGTGTAATATGATGCATGCATATAATATATGCTTGATTGTATCCATGTGCCAAGCACGCATGGTGACAAGTATAATTGCAAACTGAGATTGAAGTATTCCAAATGCATGCTCCATGTCTTTTCTTGCTACTTCTTGATATGTCGGGTAAACAATTTTCTTTTATCACCTTGAAGCATTGAGATAGTTTGAACCAATGTAGTCCATTCTAGATAAATATCATATGCTAAATAGTATCCCGTGTCATACTGGGTTCTATTCACCATATATTGCACCCTTAGGAAGATGATGAGTAAAAATATACAATGGATCCTATATATACAAGTATTGATATATAAAATTATATTAAAAAAATAATTTTATAATGTTTAAAAAATAACGTTAATTTTATAGCATTCAATTTATGTTTAAATAAGTTTTAAAAAATATATAATAATATTAATTTTTAATTAAAAAAATCAGAAGCTGCAGTGCTTTCGAAAGCCTCTGATCTTAGATGATTCTCCAGCAATTGTAGATCTTAGGAGGGGAGATGTAGGTAAGCATCACTCAGGGTTAAGTACCCCCATTGTGGATGGCCTAAGTCTACTCTTAGATGTATTAATTAATAATTTCCTTTTATACCTTTAATATATTATAAGTCAATTAATTAGTCATGTACTCATTTTCCATGAAGTGAATTCATTTGTTGGGCTACTAACAAGTCATGATCGGATGAAAAAATTATTCCTTGATTTATTAATAATGTTATTAAATATAACTACCACTTACACCATTTAATTTTGAGCATTTTTGAAATAAGAATTTCAAATTGTAACATTATTAATTAAAACTAGCTAGTTTAACTACTTTCAATGGTATTTGTTTCTTATATGTATAGAAATGGAGGTAGTATTCAATATTTGGAGGATTACCTATGTAATTATATTACTTTAAGGACTACTTAAGAGAGAATAATACTTGGGGTGGGGGCGAAATTGGTGGGTTTTTTTTGCTTTATGTATAATAGATTGAAGATACATGACTTGATATTATGTTATAAAGTGTTTGAGAGCAACTTCTGCATGCACTTTCCTGAATTCCTGCTCCATGAGTGTGAACATTTAAGTTAGTCTTTTAACGAACTTCTAGACTATGTTAAAGTTGGGAAGTCTTATGTTGCATTTATTTTTCTTTAAAGCTCGTAGTAGTAATAATTTGCCTTCGAGTTTTCTTGTGAATAGTGATAAATGTGCTTATACTTTATATTTTTACACTCTTGTATCAGCGCAAAGAGCTTTGCAAACTTCATGACAAACTGGAACAGACAAGAAAAATCCTTCTGGAGACTATTGCAAACCGAAAGAAATTCTTGTCTAGTCTCCCTTCACAGCTCAAGTCTCTTAAAAAAGCATCCTTGCCGGTGCAAAATCAGCTAGGAGTTCAGCATACTAAGAAACTAAAGCGGCATCATTCAGCAGGGTTACTTCCACCACCTCTTTATGTGATTTACTCACAGTTGTTGGCTCAAATGGAGGCATTTGGAGAATCTATTGACATGGAGATTATAGGAAGCGTCAAAGATGCTCAATCTTTTGCCCGCCATCAAGCTTACAAGGACACTGGTAATTGAGAGTTGATGTGTCCATTCTAGCATTTTATGGATTCAAATCTATGTTATCCAATATCCTGTGTATCTGTTGATGCAGCTTCAGTGTATCTGCTAATGCAGGACTATAAACTGTTTTTCAGTATCTTGTTGATGCTTCAACTTTAAACCCAAACATTACCCTATTCCTATGTATTATCTGGGATATTAGCCGCTGCAACATAGGTTATAAATAGTTTCAACACTAATAACAAGACAGTGAGTAAAGGGAAAGAAGTTTATTGCTAGATTTAATGTACTATCGTGTTTACTAATGGTCTTCACTCCTTTTTATTTTGGATTTAATATCAATGTATACGTCATTTAACTAGGTGTTGCTTAAGCATTTAAATATTTGAATCGTAATTAGTAATTACTCTTCAAATATCATTTTTATTATTTCCTCTGACCCAAAATATAAAATCCAGGAATTCACTATGATATGGTTTTATCACTCAGGCATTTCCACCTCTGCGGAGAGTTACAAATTGGAAAATGATGTACCCGACGAAGATGGTCAGAGACAGAGTAAAAGGTCAAGGAGATTTCAAGGCAAGGAGAGCCTTGACCAGGCAGGAATGTTTCAAAATCACCCACTTGCTGTCAATCTTCATGTGTATGATAACGAGGTTTCTGATCTTGAGTCAGCAAAACTCGTTACTCTAAAGTTTGAGTATTTGATGCAGTTGAATATTATATGTGTTGGAATCGAAGCATCTAATGATGGTCCTGAGAATGACATCTTATGCAATTTATTCCCTGATGACACAGGTCTTGAGCTTCCTCACCAGGTTTGGGCATCTTGTCTACGCGTTGATTTGTACTTCATTTGTATGAAAGCCTGTTTGAATACAAGTTTAGAAATGTTTTTGAGAGTTTTTCTACTAAATAATTCTTTTCTTTTTCTTTCGGTAGAGAAGTTTATAAAACGTTTCTAATTTGTATCAAAACAGACTTTATATTTACATTTTTTTATTTATTCCATCACATTAACATTTGTTTGCCGATTGTTTTATTTGGATGGTGATGCAGTCAGCTAAGCTCATTGTTGGGGAAGCTACAATGTTTAATGGTGATAGAACTTCACGTCCTTATAAATGGGCTCAGCACCTGGCAGGCATTGATTTCTTGCCTGAGGTGGCTCCCTTGCTGCTTGTTAGCCGGGAAACTTCTTCAGACAGTGGTGAAGATGTCATACATAGTCTTTCACAATATCGCCAGCATAACCAATTACAGACAATTCTGCAGAAAATTCGCTCAAGGGCAAAAGCTAAGTTGTCTCTTCAATAATAAGTCACTGCACTTATATGTTTACAGTTTTAGAATAGGAAAAGCCCTCCTGGGTATTCAATGAATTAAAAATAATGTGATAAACTGAAAGGCTTTTTTTGGGCTATGTTTTGGTTGTTGTATTAGTGTAACTGACATCTTAGTTTTTTTTTTTTTTTTTTTGTCTCCTTTTCTGCTGTAAATCCTTGTAAATTATCTTTGTAAGATTTGTGTTTTCTGTCCATTTATTGAAATTCCATTCTGTTTTGACTATTGAGAGCTGGACCCCTGTCGCTTCCTAATGAGAATTTTTTACTGAATTTTAAAAAAAAAAAAATACCAAAATAGCACTTTGTACACTTTAATTCTCCGACTAGCACCATTCACTTTACAAGGTCAGAATTCGGTTCCCCGGAAACCGAATTCTGACCTTCATTTTGTCCTCCTCGCCGGCGTGGGCTGCCAGAATTCGGTTTCCGGAAACCGAATTTCGGGCAGCCAATATTTCTTTTTTTTCCCTCCTCCTCCTCTACCTCTACCTCTTATGGACCCTCGCCCCCGTCGTCGCCATCCTCGAATCCTCCTAGGCTGCCCGCCCCCTTGTCCGCGGCATGGCCCCTATCGCCGCCTCCTCCATCCTCTTCTTCTCCTTCCTCCAGGCTCTCCTCTTCTTCTCCACCTCCCTCCTCGCCAATGCCGACCACCACCTCAACCGCTTCGCCTTCCTCCTCCGCATCGTCCTCACCTCCACGCTCCTCGTGCTCCTCCTCCTCTACAACGCTACTGCCGGCACCATGCTCTACATGTACTGCAAGGCTGTCCACGGCGAGCTCGTTGCCGACATTGTTGATGAATTCGCCTGCCAGTACGTTTCCCTCCCCCTCGCTGTCGGCTGCCACTCCTCCGGGGTCACTCCCGGCAGCGACAACTCCCTCACTGTCATTGGGATCATCTCAAATGCCGGCGTTGTCATCGAACGAAATGAGGCTGTCCGGAAACCGAATTCTGGCAGCCCGCGCTGGCGGGGGAGGACAAAATGAAGGTCAAATTTAGTTTCTCGGAAATCGAATTCTGAACTTGTACAGTAAATGGTGCTAGTTAGGGAATTAAAGTGTATAGGGTGCTATTTTGGTATTTTTTAAAACAAAAGTTAAATTCAGTAAAAAATTCTCCTAATGAAGGTTCAGCTCTGGCGGTCATAGATGAAGAGTAGCATATTTTGGAATCAATGGATGTTGATGTAGTTGAACGATCTGGTGCCACCAAGGAAGAACAGAGTATAACTGAAGACAAGGCCTTCCAAATTTACAGGAGCATAAAATAATAAATATATCCCTAGTTTCAAAAAACTTTAAATGGGCATAATAATATGGGAAAAGAACAAGCAGCGAAGTAGAATTTGGAATATTAAATGAATCGATATGTTGATATATCGAGTGTGTTTGCAAGATATTTCTATTATAAAAGTTAGAAAATTCTATCTATTATATTGAGTGTGTTTTTTTTAGGATAAATATTGTGTGTGTTTTATTTCTGTTATATTGAATGGGTTTGGGTTTGGCAAGACTTGAAAAAAACGTAAAAAAAAATTCTTTCTATCATATTCTCCAGTTCAATATTTTATAAGACAATTAAAATGAGTCGATTTGTAATGTTATGAGGGACAGATTTCTATTATTAGATACAATAATAATGTCTTGTTATTATTATTATTATTATTATTATTATTATTATTATATAAGCAAGGTTAGTGTTTGTTTCACCTAGAGCATATTTTTTAGCTAGTGAGCAAGACTAATTTCTCACGAGATCATAATATCTCTCGAAAATATTGTTTCATACACATTATTGTCGATATCTAGTAGAAAATTAAGGACTAATCATATTGATATTTATTTAAAGAGTCAACATTTTCTAACAAATATTTTTTATATGCACAAATAAAAAATAAATACCTTTAGTTACAACTTTAGTCACAATTTTATATCCAAAAAAAAAATCAAGTTTCAGTCTTTTTGGTTATTAGACACAATGTTGAATCATTTGAACTAACGTTTTATTGATAAATGTTCCAGAGATCATAAAAATGTTGATTAAATAAGTAAAAGAAAAATATTTACTATATCAAGAATATAAAAAATAATCTAATGTTTGCATTTTAAATGAGTAAATGAATGAGTTTTTTGACCATCTAGCATTTTCAATACATTTATTAGCAATCAAATCCTTACTTGTAATAGAATCAATGAATTATGACGATATTCTTCTACCTAGTTTTCCCATATTCCAGCCAAAGAAACAACGAGGAAGCAGAGAAGAAAACGAAGGTTCATGACCAATTCAACGATTCTCGTCTGTAACAAGAAGTCATATCTTTAAAATAAGTAGGTGAAGTTTTGAAATTCATATTTTATATATTATTTCCTTGAAAAGTCTATGATAGTGATTCTCCTTATACGCAATAGATATGATTTTTTATTTATCCAAAAGCATAAGACCTGGAGTAATAAAATGTTCTTATTCTCTAGTCTTATGTCATTTACTCCTCAATATATAACTACGAACTTAATTGTAGATTCATAGGTGGAAGCATTAGTTAAACTTATTCCATCATGTCTCCGTTTGGGTTATTGCGGGTAGTAGTGGTTGTGTGGGTGTGGTCAGAAGGTATTATTGGTAATGCAAAAGATATTTATGAAACAAAAGACAACAACATAGAGTGCAAGTCCAAGATTATTGTGAACATTGGAGGCCTCATAGACATGAGTTCACGTGTGGGAAAGGAGCAGAAGATAGCAATGGAAGTTGCAGTGGACGATGTAAATGATCAAAGTTGCCATAAGCTTGCCTTGAACATCAATAGTAATGCTCATCGGAACTCATCTCCTATGTTGGCTGCCGGTAACCTTCAATTCCATCATTTCACACTCCCATCTTTTTGGCACACAACTATTCTTCATAATTTACAAACCAAAAATGTTGGGAACACACTTTATTTACTTATAATAATTGAAATTTATTAACACTTGCAAAATTTGACTACTTTTATATCTTATTTAATAAATTTTTATCATAATTTTGTATTTTAATGAATTTAAACTATTAAGAAAAATATATCACTCTTATTTTAACTATTTATGTACAACTATATGGTTAATATTAATTAGGGTGACAAAAATTCATTTAACTACCATCCATCCATAATAAATCCATCTCCTTTATTCATTATACAAATGTAATAATGATGGATTGGATTCAATTCATTAATTTAATTTTATGGTCACCACTTTTCAAAATCTATTAGATTAAATAAAAGAAGTATATTAGATTGAAATTTTAAAAAACTATTTTAACATAAAAATACTATAAAGACTATTTTAAAGATCGTGTAATAATGTAATGACTTATAATATTTTTTTAAAGAATTTTATAAAAATAAAATTTAACTTTCGAAATATATTTTCATGGAAAGATTGGATATCTATCCATTAAAAAATTGTTAGTGAATGAATTATATTTTTTTTTCTTAAATAGATCAGATGATTAGATTTTTAAATTTTTATTTTAAGTGAATTATATTAGATTAATAAATTATTTTTATCTTATTCATTGTAATCCAACTTAAAAATTATATGATCCATCCATTTATCATCTCTAACATTAACTCATTTAACTTTTTTACTTGACACTTAGTTATGAATTGAAAGTGGACTAATTTTACAATATTATAATTAGAATGAATAATTAAAATTAAGCCAAACAATTTTAATAAACCAATGATTAGTGAAAATTGTTCAATTAAAATTAATTAAACAATTTAACCACTGATATGTTATTATACTATATTTTTTTTCATTAAAATCATTTTCATAAAGTAAACAAAAGATTTTCATGGTACGTATCATTTTTCTAAGAAAATTAAATCAGTCATACTTTTGAAAAATCTGAAGCATTCGTTAGCTAAAAGACAACATTCCATATTCTTTTTTCAAAGCTTTTTATTTATTTATACTAAATTAGAGTTATTTAATTTTCAAACGATAAATTTAGTATTCCTTATAAATATTTTATTAGACTGATGTCTATTGTACGTAATATTAAGGAAAACAGTCTCATAATAACGGCGTTTTTTTTAATCTAATAAAAATCAGACTCAATCAACTTAAAAATTAATTTATTTTAAATTCTTATAATTTTAAATTTAAAAATATAAATAAATTTATTTTGAACATTATATTAAAAATATTTTAAAATGTCTTATCTTTTCATATTCTCCTAATATTACAAGAAAGTTAAAAATAGAATCAAATAATAAAAATTTATAAAAACATTTTGTCTCTCTTCTCGTTCTATCAAACATTAACTGAATGATATTTTTATTTTAAAAAATCACGACACTCAATTTTATTTATATTTTTTAAAAATATTATAAATAATGAATGCCCTCAAACCCCATTAATATTTTTGTCAACAATCAAAACCTGTCTTCTTCTGTTTTTACTTTTTATCTTCGATACGTTGCATTTCTTGTTTTTCACAAATTCCGGTGGATAACCTCTTCATCGTGTTAATATTGAAACAGTTGACTTTTGGGACAAGAGGAATTCATATTTTCTATACACGACGATGACTTCCATGTTTTAAAAAATAAGAGAAAAATTAAGTATAAAAATATGAGTATCTTTAAAATCTAAACAAGAAGAAGAAATATTAAGAATGTGAATTATGTTAACCAAGACTCTTACCGATCGTTTATCGGGTTCAAAGATTTGCACCAGAAATGGAGAAAAAAAAAGTCAGTATTTCTTGACAATTTTGTAATTATAAAAAGTAAAAACACAAAAGAAAAATATTTTTTTTATTAGTATATGTAAAAAATATATTATTTTTTATAGAGAAAAATATATTGTTGATAAGTTATTAAAAAAAACTCCAAAATCTTTTAGATTAAACAAAATAGTTAAAAAGTCCTGTTCGAAAATATATAAAGTCTAACATCACTTTGAATCAAGATAACTATTCTAATTTGATATATAAGGTGAATTATAAATATATATAATATATACATTAATAATGCAAATTTCTCTTACACTATCATCTCGTTATAAACTGCTATTTCTACTATAACTACATTAATTCTTATATTATCTTATAAATTATATTAAATATATTTTTTTTAAAAAATTAAATATAATCTCTAATTAATTAATATTATATATATTTTTATACTAACGGACAATAGTACATGCCTATTAAATTCAATAACTATTTATTTTAATTATTTTTTACTTAAGATTTTGCTTTCATTTAGTATTAAGAAGCTAAAATAAATATCATTTTATAAATTATGTATAGGATCTTAAATTTGAATTATGATGCTATTGTAGTTTTTGATAGATGAAAGAAAATATATAATGCAAAGTTAAAGACTAAGTATTTTTTTAAATATTAAAATATAAAGTGTTCTACCCATACGATTTTGAAAACTAATATAAGAGTTTTGTGTATTTGCATTTATTTTATTGAAAGATCTTTCATACCAAGGGATCTTTGGATTAATTGATTGAAAAATGACACCCTTTAATAGGAAAGACACCCAATCACATCTACTATATGATAAAAATAAATTAATATTTTAATATTGAGCCAACTTTATTTTTTTTTAGTGAGTGTCGTTGAAGTGTTTCCCTATTAAAGGGTGTCTAAATTTCACGAGTCTATAAATTAATTATTTGGTAGATTTTAAATTTTTTTTTCATTATCCCTTTTTTTGTATTATTTATTTTTTATTATTATTTTACATCAATGTTATAAAGCTTTAGATTAATCTAACTTCATCAATAATAAATAAAATTTGACTAAAAATTACTTTCTTTAAGGATCAAATTCAAATATTGTCCCGATGATTTAATCTTAGATTTTAACATAATTTTTCTTATATTACTTTGAGAATGAGTATCCATATTTCTTTTTACATAGTGTTTGGTTAAAAATGGAGGGGAAGGAAGAGTTTAATTTTTATAATTTTTTTGTTTGATTTAATTTTAGGAGGGATCAAAAATCATTTCTCATCTAATTTTAGTTCTTCCCCAGTATTGTGGAGATTTGAAGGAGAGATTGAAATATTTTAAAATAGTTTTAGATGTTCAAAATATTGTTATATTTTAAATTTTAAAATTACAAAGATATAAAAATAAATAAATTTTTAAAATTTCTTTCCTTTATTCAAACAAACATGAAAACAACTATCTCCTCTCCTCTTCTTTTAACTAAACAAAATTTCTGATTCTTTTAATTCCCATCCCTCCTTTAAAATTTTTCCTCTCCCCTTTTTGAACCAAGTAGACAATTTAAAAACCATCAATAAAATTGTTCCAAATGTAATTAGATTTTTCATGCAACTATCTATACACAGATCTTGCAAACAGCAAGCAAGTGCAAGTTGTCGTAGGAACAAAACTCGATGCAGCAACGTTATTCCACTCCATTGATGAAAACTCAAACGATGTCCCCATCATATCTCTAGCCTCAACCGCTAGTCCAGAAACAACCTCAATCCCATTGCCAGACTTCATCCAAATGGGCCACGATGTCACCCTTCACATGCACTGCATTGCATCCATCATACACCAATTCCATTGGCGAAAGGTCACACCAATTTACGAACACAACAACTTCTACACCTCTCACTCACAAATACTAACAACACTCTCTTATTCTCTCCGTCTCGTCAACGCTGAAATCGATCACCACGTGGCTTTTCCTTCGATTTCCTCTCTTTCAAACCCAATAGAAAGCATAGAACAAGAGCTTACGAGGCTTAAGAACAAGAGCAATAGGGTGTTCTTGCTTGTTCAATCTTCCTTGGAGTTTGCCACGTTGCTGTTTGAGAAGGCAAAGAAAATGGGAATGATGGAAAAAGGGTCGGTTTGGATCATCACAGATGATGTAGCCACTCATCTTGATTCGTTGGATTCTTCTGTCACATTCAACATGCAAGGTGTTATAGGGTGCAAGACCAACTTCATGGAAACGAGTCAAACTTTCAAACGTTTCAAGTTCATGTTTAGGAAAAGGTTTGGATTGGAATACCCTCAAGAAGAAAACTCAAAACCAAGTATCTTTGCTCTTAGGGCTTATGATGTTGTTTGGATCATTGCTGATGCCTTGAAGAAGACACAAAGAAATAAAATTTCCTTATCAGAGAATATTTTACATAGTAATCATGAGGGGCTTAGTGGGAAGATAAGGTTCAAAGACAGAATGTTGTTGGATCCACCAACCTTTAAGGTAGTCAATGTTGTTGGAAAGGGTTACAAAGAGTTAGCATATTGGTCTTTAGGGTTTGGTTTCAGTGAGAACCTTGTTGAGCATAAGAACGCAACAACTTGTGGTGGTTCTGCTAGAGTGCTTTTAGGTTCTGTGGATTGGCCTGGTGGGTTGAAAACAGTTCCAAAAGGTTGGGTTTACAATAGCACTAAGGGAAGGCCTTTGAAAATTGGGGTTCCAGCTATTGATCCTTGTCCTCAGTTTGTGAATGTGAGCCATGATAAGAGGCTGAATGAAACACAATTCACTGGTTTCTCAATCAATGTCTTTGAATCAGTTGTGAAACGCCTGCCTTATCCCTTGCCTTTTGTTTTTGTGCCATTTTATGGCTCTTATGATCAAATAGTTGAACAAGTGAGCAGCAAGGTAACATCATTATCTATGCTTATTTAGATCCCATTTAGATAAATTTCTCGAGAAGAAAATAAGAAGGTGAATTAACTTAAGCTTTTGCATAATTTATAGAAACTCTTTTATATGTAACTTCTTTGTAAACTGAACTATTAACTATACATAAGCTAATTTTAAATTAAATGCTTTATTCATTTTACCTTCTTTCTCTCTTTCTTGAATTATTTATCTAAATAGGACCACGTACATATTTGTGTAGGAACAAAATAAATAAATTATTGTAATGTGTGTTTCTAATGTAGTACCTTGATGCTGCTGTTGGAGATATACAAGTGGTGGAACATAGATATGCTTTTGCTGAATTCTCTCATCCATATGTTGAATCTGGTATAGCCATGGTAGTGAAAGTAAAGCCAAATAGATCCAAAGAAACGTGGATGTTCATGGACGCTTTCACAAAAGAAATGTGGTTATTGATGGGGATAATGCACCTGTTCATAGCATTTGTAATATGGTTCATTGAAGGTCAAAGCAATTCGGAACTTCAGAGTTTTGGGGCCATTCTCTGGTTTTCTGTCACCATATTATTCTTTGCACACAGTAAGTCGCATTGAAAGGTCATTTGTAGCACCATATAATAACTTTTTTATTCATCAAATTCCTTAATGAAGTAACATTTTATGTAGTAATTTGAATATTTAATTTAGTTTGAATATACCCATAATGTAAGAGACTTTTTAATAAATGAAACTTAGATACAATATCATAGATATTATTAGTTGTGTTATTTAATTAAATTAAAATTTTATCTTGATAACATATATAATAAATGATTTCAATTTTAATTACAAAAATGAAATTTCAATTCTAATCGAAAAATAATACTATCATTATATTGTATATAAGTTTTATCTTTTTTGAATAATGTTTTTCTATCATGAATTATTACATGAAAACTGCTAACTTTTGTAGTGATCAAGTCATATCTCGAATCATTTCAAATTGGTTGATAGTATAACATTTGTGATATGTAGGAGAACCTGTAAAGACCAACTTGGCCCGACTTGTTCTAGCACCTTGGTTATTTGCTATTCTGATTGTGACTCAAAGTTTTACAGCTAGCTTGTCATCCATGATGACAGTGTCCCATCTTGAACCATCTGTGCCAGATATACAAACATTGTTGAGGACAAATGCAATCATAGGGTGCAACAAGAACACTTTTTTGGTCCAATACTTAGTTGATGAACTCAAGTTCCAGCCTCAGAATATCAAAGTATTTGACTCCATCCATGATTTCCCAAGAGCCTTTGAGAACAAAGAAATTGTGGCTTCTTTTACCATTTCCCCTCATGCTGATGTTTTCCTAGCTACTTATTGCAAGGGCTACACCAAAGCTACCTTCTTGAAACTTGGTGGATTAGGCTTTGTGAGTTTCTCTTGTCATCTCATTGTATGCATCATGCATGCTACATGTTAGATTGAAAAATTGATAGGTGACCACATTTTGACCATATTTTTTCACAGAATAAGAGAATAGATGATTGAAATTTAGGAGGGATAGGATTTTGAAAAGATAATGATATAATTAGAAAAATGGTATGAGTTTTGGTTTAATAAATTTAAAACAGTGAGATATTTAATAATTAAAAGTGAAAATAAAAAAATAAATAAGCCTTAATAATCTCATGGTACTCTCAATCATCCATTAGTAAAATAAATTACTTTCATTTTGTTGAATGAGATGCTTATAGAATCATTAAAGTTGTCCTAACGATTAAAAAAAATAAAGTAATATGTATAAAGTGTTAAGTTCTAATTTTGTTATTATCATTGTAATTCTTATAAATAAAAATAAAAATAGATGAGATGCTTATATATTTTTTCATACCTTATTGATGCAGGCGTTTCCAAAAGGGTCAGGTTTAGCAATTGACATGTCACGAGCAACCCTAAGAGCCATAGAAAGTGGAGAAGTGAAAAAATTAGAAGAGAATATGTGGTCCAACACCAATTGTGGGTCTACAAATAGCAAAATACAAAATGAACAACTTGGTCCTCAACCTTTCTTTGGCCTATTTGGTATCTGTGGAGCCATTGCTCTCTTTGGTTTATTGGCAGCCATTATTCATTTTGTTAAAAGGAATGCAGAGACATTTGTGACCTTCATATCATTGTTACACTTGCAAAGAGGATTATAAGTAATCGAACTCCATGGTCGAAAGCTACTACACAAGCGCATAAGAAGTGGAGAGAGTACATCTCATAACAATGAGCTAGCTATAGTAAGTACTGGGTTACCAATTAACTACATGACTAACTAATTGAATTTTAGAATTTTTTTTATTAATAGAAAAGATTACAAAAGCGAAAATAGATCGATCTAAATACGTATTTGGAATGACGTTATTTACTTACGTTAGTCTCAAAATTCACATTAGAATTGACAATAGATACTAGAATGACATTATTTACTTACGTTAGCCTCAAAAATCACGTTAAAATTGACAATAGATGTAGAAGTTACAAATATTTATTTATCTTAGATGTAGTCATAGGGGCGTCCATGGATCGGTATTTTGAAAAATTCAAACTGAATCGAACCGATCCATTTTATAAAAGTGGATCGGTTAACCGATCCGTTTTTTATAAAGTGGATCGGTTTGGTTTTTTTAAAATATGGATAAGTTTTTTTGAACTTGAATCGGTTCGGTGTGGTACGGTTATCCATTTTTTATTCATATATGGGTCAGTTTTTTAAAAAAACCAAATCGAATCGAACCGATTCACTTTGTAAAAATGGATCAGATAATTGAACCGGTTTTATAATGTTGATCAGTTTGAATTTTTTTTCAAAATGTATTGAATTTTTCAATGTGGATCGGATCGATTATGGATCGATTCGGATCAATTTGAATTTTTTGTACACCCCTAGACATAAATCCAAGTTGACGTGACGTAATTCCAAACACACACTAAGTGTTTGTACATTTATCTGATCCGACCTAAATTATCTTTTTAGAAATGTTTATTATAGAAAAAAATTCACATTTTTTTAGATTGAAATTTTCTCATTTTTGTACTCAGTCGATATATAATTTTGATGTAATAAAATATTATTAATGAACCTAATTAATTGATTAATTAATGAGGTTGTGTTTCAAATTGGTCTTCAAAAGCCCAACTCGTTAGAATAGATCATCACCTCAACCCAAAGTCAGTAATGACCCAACAACACTTGGACCAAAGTCCATTATAGGGGATTAATTTAGTTGCAAGGTGTAGCAGCACCTGTATTTCTAGTAAATGATAAAATTCATATTAAATGATTTTTTTTTAAAAGCAAAGTATTATTAACATGCAGAATACTAGGGACACTCTAACCCATAGGGATAGTAATATTACATGGCTAAGTCAAATGGAAAGAGATAAACATGCTACTGGGTCAATGACTCAAATATAATATTTGATGCATGTTTATTAAAAAAAATTGAAAGAGAAAATATATAAAACACTTGAAACCTTAAAATTTTATATAAGAATTAGTATTGATTTTGTATTTTTCTAATAACATATGATTTTTGGTGTAAAATAAAAACAATAATAAAAAGGAGAAAAGTCAAACAAAATCGTATTTATTTACACTACAACTATATTTAAGGCAACAAAATTACACGCGTATAGACAATATCAACTATATGTTTCAAATCTACGAGGAAAAGTAAGCTCAAGATCAATTTAAAACTTAATTTATTTTATAAAATCACAAGTTTCCTGTAGCATTAATTTTGAGATAAAATTTTGCTGAAAAAGGGATCATCCTAATCTAAATCACTTTTTTTTACCAGTGAAATTTAAACTTATACACTACGTTGAAAACTCTTATAATGAACATTGTATATTAAAAGTAAATCACTATTTTATACAATAGTGTTTTTAAGATTTTTTTTATGGAACTGTTATGAAATATTTTTTAATTTCTTATCTAATTTAATTTTTTATTTATTATATCTATTTATAAATTAAATTTTAATATTCTAAAACAAATAATCAATAATTAAAATAATACATTTATTATCTTAAATCTAAAATATAATTTATATTTAAAAATAACTATTTATATTAATTTTAATATAAGTTATATATTTACATATAATATTTATTTATATATAGTTTATTATAAATTTTAATTAAATATAATAAACATTTAATCTATGTAATACACAGCTAAAATACTAATTAGAGTTATTTAAGCATTATTTATGATATTATTTAATTTGTAAATGTTTATTTTACTCAATAATAATTTGGGAATTAGTTTAACTTTTGAAATTTTATTTCGAAAATTAATATATGAGATTAACCTTTGAAATTTTATTTTGAATATCAATAATGCTACTTTTTAGATATATTTAGATTAATTTTTTATTTGTTGTGAATCATTTAGATTTTTCTTTAACAGTTAGTTTCGATTTTGGGATAAATGCGTAAAACATGTCCAGAGATTAGGAAAAAAAATGTTAAAAGTTAAATATATTGAAAAATAAATATGAAAAAAAAAAATTAAAAGTTAAATCATGTGGAAAAAAGATAAAAGGCATGCTTATTTAAATATTCCATGAACATTAAATTCATATAATCATATTATATTATATGTAATAAATAGATTTTCTTTAAAGATTTGAGACTGACTTTTTTATTTTTTACTCAAAATATAATTTTTTTTAAAAGTTTAGATGCGACTTTTTAATTAAATAATTTATTTAAAGGTCTGAGTGAAGCCAACCAGCTGCTAACGTATTTCCACCGTTACGGCGTTACCAATGGAATTATTGCAAACTTATCGCAAATGGGCTAAAAAGAATTTGGCTTATGGGCTGCGTATGGCCCATCGAACGTTTTTATGGCTCCACTCGTGAAAAATGAGTTGAACATTTTTTTTTAATAAACATGTGTCAATTTACTAATAATCCAATTCAATTGATTTTATAACTTTATTCAAAAATACATTTTGAATAATGTCTTCGTTAAATTATTAAGTTTTTTAATCATCAAGATGTGACAATTTTATTTTCAACTAATAAGTTGTATTAAATAATTTAAGAAAAATATAAACATCACTCTTGAGTAGAACCTGCCTAGTTTAGAAATTACAAAGCATTATACAATTCTTCTCCGGTAAAGTCACGATTTAATTTTTTATTCTCAACGTCAAGAAAAAAATATCTTATCTACTGGACCTATTTAGACTAGAATCACATCTTTTGACCTTAGGTATAAGTATACAAATTTATAAAACAAATCTTATATTTTTAATAACTTTTTATATATACACATTTAATTTATCTATTTATTAAATTATGTCATATTAAATTAAAGACTATTTATATCAAATTTAACATAATTTAAAAAAGTTTAGATATATTATCTAAAAATAAATAATTACACATATTTTAAATATCATATTATACATTAAATTAAAGTAATATTATAAATTATTAAATAATTTTAAAATTTCATAAAATTTGATATAAAGAATTTTAAGTATAATATAATTTAATTTAATGATCAGATTAAATTAACATTATATAATAAGTTATTAAAGATATAATATTCGATATAAATTTTTTGACTTTCATATGAATTTCAACTCATAATAAATAAATAAATATATATATATAAATAAATAAATAAATAAAGAGAGGGAGACATGAATCCACTTAATTCAAATTTAAAATTATTGATAATTTTTTTATTAATTAACATTAACATTAACATCAACATATAATTATAAAAATATTTTATACGTTGATTTGAAATATTATTTTCAAGTTTTTCTTATATAATTTATAATTTTTTATATATTAATAATTTTTAATTTAATAATTAGATAATTAAAATTTGATATAAAATATAAATTATTAAATAAAATAGTTTTAAGATAAATAAATCTCTCATCATTTATTATAATAAATATTTTTTATAATTTTTTTTTATCTCATTTTAGATCTATCCCTTTATATATATATATATATATATTTAATTAGAAGATATAATTTATTTCAGTAAATTCAATTTTAATTTCTATAAAAATAAGGTAGTATCTTCACGTAATCAAATTAGAGTTTGAATTAACATACTAATTGCATCAGGAGAATTTGAATCTGTGATTGCATATGTGAGAATAAGATGTTGTTGCGAAGCATGAAGATGTTTTTTATCTCATTTTAGATCTATCCCTTTATATATATATATATATATATTTAATTAGAAGATATAATTTATTTCAGTAAATTCAATTTTAATTTCTATAAAAATAAGGTAGTATCTTCACGTAATCAAATTAGAGTTTGAATTAACATACTAATTGCATCAGGAGAATTTGAATCTGTGATTGCATATGTGAGAATAAGATGTTGTTGCGAAGCATGAAGATGGAGGAAGAAAAGAGTTTGTGGAATTGTGGTGGTGCAATGAATGCGTGAAAGTCACGGAGAATTGGAAGAACGTGGATCTCATCTGTACTATGGATTTGCGCCGACAGTGGCGTTATTTGCATCTCTGATCTCTCTCTCTCTCTCTCCTCAAGTCAGAATCAATGATGAATGCAGAATGCTTCCAAAGATTCCACCACTTCATGTGACTAAACACCCCCATGCCTCCATTTATACCCAACAATTAATTACACATCGTGCCCCCAAAATCCATTTCATACGTTTTACTAATTCATACTATTTTTAAGATTACTTTATAAATTGAATAAAAACTTTAAACTTAGTACAAAGTTTATAAAAATTTTATAACTTCTTTAAATGTTTTCTCAATACTTTTAAACTCAAATTTAAATATTAAATATTTTTTTTAAAAATATTATCATTAATAATAATTTTATAAAATTTACATTATGTACCTGTCTAAGGGCACACTCCTTTTCTTCTGGG